TAGTCCTGGTTTAGACCTGGTTTAGTCCTGGTTCAGTCCTGGTTCAGTCCTGGTTTAGTCCTGGTTCAGACCTGTTTCAGTCCTGGTTTAATCCTGGTTCAGTTCTGGTTCAGTCCTGGTTCATGTGTTGTAGTTTATGATTTATGTTCTGTCGGTGTTTATAAACAGCATAAGTGTTACTAACATGATTCCGCATCATTTTGGGTCAAAAAAATCATCAAATATTACAGATTTTATTTAATTTTTTTAAATAAACAAACAATCTATATGACACCTCTGTGTATTTCAGCATATAAAGTTAAAAAATCTTCACTACACCACTGCATACAACTCCACAGCGTCTTTCCTTTCTCCCCTCCCTCGTCTGAAGGATCACACTTAATCCTATGGAGCTGACCTAGTGACCATTGAAACAGTAACTTAGTCTAGGCCTATTTATAGAATCACCAATGGCAGCTTCCATATCCACCCCACCGTAACTTGAACGCATTTGGTCAGTTTCCGTGGATTCAGTGTGAACCTCTTAACGTGTATTTGCCTTATATTGACTATTAATGACGGAGAGGGAGTGTTGACAGCAGCTAAAAGCATAGCCGTGCTAAGAAGATTTGCGATCTGTTGATGTACTTAAAGTTCAGTGAAATCAACAATAAATAAACAACTCGAATCGTTTTTTTTTTTTTACAAAGTGGAAGCGATGAGAGTGGAGGGGACGTTGGACTTTTTGGCGCGTTAAAATGTAAAAAGGCAACAAAAAAAATCACCGCAAAGGTAGAGTGGGGAGCAAAACAAGAGGGATTAGAGAGGATTAGTGACTGTTTTGGTCCCATGGTAGTAAAATCACATCGTCAGACGCCGGAGAGCACGGACACTAACTCCGAGGCGGTGCGAATGTCGGATAACAGCTGATTCGGAGGGAAAGTGAAACGGAAACGTCAGAGAAACTAACAGGTAAGACTCAAGATGTGTTTTAGAGCTGCGATGCGTAAACGTGATCGTCTCCATGGGGATATTTTTGCTTTGAAAGTTCCGCAGTATGCCAATAAACGTGTACACAGCAAAAAGTGGAGTGTCAAAATTGACTCTCACAGAATCAATTAACATTTTCTCAGAGTTTATATGAGTCCAATCTGTTCTAGAGTTAATTTAACATTTTTGGAAATGTTTATTAAGTAACACTGGACCAAAGTTCCTGTTTAACCCCAAATTCACATTTTGAGAATAAACAGATAACACTTTGTAGAGTTATCCTGATTTAGCTAAACAACACACAGAGGCGTTTTATTTTTACCCTATTTTAGTTCATTTAAGATGTAATTATGAACAAAACTGGTTCAAACTGGTCTTCTCTCACAAGAGTTTGAAGTGGTGAATGGGAGGAGCCAAATTCACACTAAGAGAAGTTGAATTAAGACTAGAGGAAGTTGATTTAACCTCAACCACATCAACTCTGGCAAATAACCCCAACTCGAACCCCCATTTAACTTTCAAATTGTTAAATAATGCTTTTGGTGTTAAAAACAACTTTTGCTGTGTATCTCTGTGGAAAAAAGCAGGTGGCACCACAAGACCAAGTTACAGGTTAGATCTGTGGAGAGGCACCCTTCTGACAGTAAGAATGTATGTTTTCAGAAAGCCCATTGTTGAGTTATAGTATGAAATAACTGCTATGTAGATGGGCTTAAAGCTATACTGTGGATCATTCCAGGCAAAACAATTACATCTCCATGGAGACAAGCAGGTAGCATATACAGAAAGTTACACAATGTAGCTTTAAAGTTCACTGGTGTCGGTCTAAAGTTTACAATCTAAAATAGGACCAGAGGCACAACTTCTGTAAAGAACGACTAAGTAATTACATTTGAGCGGAGTTAAACCTGTTAAACCAGAAGTAGTGGGACTGTCTGTCACTTCATTCTGTTACATGCCTTTGTGCACTTGGGCAAAACACTTGAGCCACCTTGCCTCAGTGAATCAAGTCATTTCACAAAAAGAGATTTAAAGGTTTTATGCAGAATGGGTTCTAGTGTGCTTTAAGCCATGTTAGAAAGTTGTTACCTCCTCAGAAACATACCTGGACATCTCCAAACGCTCCATTCTACCTTGTGATGTCATGAAGTGTTTGTTTTTAATCTGTTAATACATGTATAATTCTAATTGTAATGCTATTTTGTAACGCCTCTGATCCGACAACTTGCAGTGTAATGTATCACTACGCCTCTTAATAAACAAGTGCCAGGAAACGCTCAAGACTCATGGCCACGCTGTATTTCCTTTCCAACAATAATATAATATATATATAATATAATAACTAGTCATGGCAGGGTTCCCACGGTCATGGAAATCCTAAAAACGTCATGGGAATTGAAAATGTAATTTTCCACGCCTGGAAAAGTCATGGAATTTTAGTATCTCTTTCACATAACTACAGCGTCCTGTTCAGTTCTCATTAGTCTATATTGATTATTTGTGAACATCTGTGCCTTTTGTTTAAAAGAGACAATAATAAATGCACTGACAGGATTTTGAATATTAAAAAATTATAATCCCAAACCATAAGGTGAGTGGAAAGAGTTAACATTTCATATTTAGCCCTAAAAGTCTGATCAATTCTGCACATGTAGGGGCTGTAAAGTCATGGAAAATTCACTTTAGGTCATGAAAAAGTCATGGAAAAGTTTTGAAATTTTGTCAGTGAAAAAGAGTGGGAACACAACCTTTTACCTTTTGTTTAGCAGAGATTTGCAATTCCAGGGTTGAAATGATCAAAATGATTGTAGTGAAGATATATGAACTTCAAAAACACAGTGGAGCTCCTCCTGCATCACCACATGACATCACAAGATGGAACAAGGTGTTTTCTGTTTGAGATAAGAACTCGTCATTAATATGCAGGGTTTGTGTTAAACATGTGTAAATGAAACAAAACACAACTCCAGGTCTGTTTTTGAGGAGGAATTACATTATTTACATTGTAATATGGGCCCTCCTAGTTAGAGGTTAAACATTCAATCACATAGTTTTGTGTTAGATGTGTCAGATTATGACATTGCCCTGATTGAAATAAGAAGGAGATAAGCAGCTAGTGTAACTTGTCCTGAAATAAACCCACAGTGAGGAGGTATAGAGGCAGAATAACTGATCTCTGTTTCAACTACAGCATATAGGCAAATACAAAACAATACAAATGCTAACAATTAATAAACACATTATGTATTGGATAGGGATGGGCATTTGATTAAATTTTTCTTAATTCATCATCAGGAGGATTAATGATTGATTTTCGATTAATTATTAATGTTTTTATATTAAAATGATCACCATTATTATTACTATTACTAATCTGCATAAATAAACTCAACTTTACAACTTTTAAACGTAACCACTCTAGAGCCACATCAGCCTGTTTGACATTATAATGTGTTTAATGCAGCTTTGACACATTTATTTAAGTTTTACAGAAACAAAACTTAAAACCACAAGGTTCATTTGCATAAACTATAAGCAGTGGAAAACAAAAAACACCTCTTTCTTTGTGTGCTGATGTGGTCAGCTATTTAACTTTTTTTTTTGTTTATTTATTTAATGAGACACTGGGACAGTGCACTATTTTGACATTAACCTTAACAGGAGAGATGTTTGTACCAGGTTGTAGCACCAGTGCTAATTTCCACCTGTCGTCCCTGGGCAGGTTCTTTGATTGATTTTATTTAATTGACCTTAGCTTTCAACTGTTCTTCCTGGAAACATGTGTAGCTTGTTTTGGGTTGATGGGGGAAACCAGAGCTCCCGGAGGAAACCCATCCAGATGAAAGGGAGAAACATGCAAACTCCACACAGAAAGGCCCGGGCAACCCAGGGATTGAACCCGGAACCTTCTCGCTGTGAGGCGTGAGTGCTAGCCACTCAGCTTTTACTTTATTTATGTTGGTCACTTTATTTATTTTGGCCACTGTTGTGATGAAAAGTGTTTGTCTTTTGGACGCTTGAGAACTCAACTTTATGTTGCAGTAACAGGGATACTGTGTTTACATGCACCATGATGAAACCAGGACACTCAAAAAAACCCGATCATACCTGAGACACTGATGTGTATTTATACACACTCACTGAGTGGAACAGTGTCTCCAAGGAGCCAGAGCCCAAACTGTGAGGGACTGTGAGGCACAACTCCAGTGTTTGTGTCAGACACAGCTTCGTCTCCTTACACTACACTACGCACAGCAACATATATTCAGTTTGTCAATTAAAAATGAACATGATCGATGAAATCGATCAATTAGTCAACTAATCATGCCCATCCTTAATATTGGATCATTTTTATTATTCATATGTTGTGTCTATTCATCAGATACTTCAGGGGCACATTGATGAGTTTGTAACCACAGTGTTCTCTCCGCATTAATGTACTTAGAGGTTTTTCCTGTATTGTTTTGGATTTGAGGCTCAAGTGCTCAGAAAATTTCTCGTTTCACCTACCCCCTATCTCCGCCCACTACTGTACATACTTGTGATTACTGAGATAATTCAGACTCTCTATTATACATGTAAATCTAAAAAATGTCACAGCTTTGATCTAAAGAGGTGGGGCTTATGAGTTTTGAACAGGAAGTTAATGGACCTGTTTCTTTTTTGAAGCTGCTTTAGATCAGTGTTGCGGTTTCCAACGAACAATATGTAAAATGATGATCTGTGTATGTAGTTTAAAGGCCTATGTGACACTGAGGTTTTAATGTTGTATCGCCATCACAAACATACCTGGAGTCATGTTTTGTTTATTCATGCAAATGTTTAACACGCAAACCCTGCATATTTAGGCTGAGTTCTTCTTTCAAAAGTTAAATCTCACAGGAGTCAATTTACCACAATTTAGGACTTTTAATTAGAATTTTCAGCCAATACCACTAACATTACCAGTACTCACTAGTTTCTCCATCTGTGTTGCTCTGTGTTGTTTGACTTATAGGCTGAATCCTGCACGTTTCTGATCCCACCATGTCATGATACAAACGATGGAGGAAGGTAAGAAAGACATTTATTACTGTTTTAGCGAAACATAAATGATTAAAGTTAAAGTCCAACCCACAATATTCTTACTGAGATACACCACACCACTCAATAATAGAGCGAAGACATGCACATTCCACACAAAGAGATCAGGAGTCTAACCCACAACCTCCTTTCTGTGCGGAGGAGATAGGATAACCGTTCTGCCATGGCGTCTTTAATTTGTGTGTAATCTCGCGTGAGGACTAATTCAGTGGGATTAGACTCTGTGGGTCAAAGGTCACATGTTAATCCGGACCCTGCGCCTCACACATCTGCCTGCGTGATCCGTCAGCTCCTTCAGTGCCTCAAATCGCTGGGTTGTAAATGACATCACCGCCTCCTGTTCTCCTGAAGGTGGACTCTGTCGACCCCGGAGGGACTTTTCATCCAGCAGTCAATGTCAATGAGGTTAAAGGTGTCAGGAGCAGTGTCTTGTTCTATGCTGTTCCAACACTACACTCTACTCTGTTTACTTACACCCCAAAATCTGATCATGATCTGATCTCAAGAGAAATGTTAACATATGGTTACATGCACACTCAAAATCTGATTATTAATGTTTTTTTAGTTATAAATTGTTAAAATGTAAATGTACAATATAATGTAAATTATCAGACAGATGTCTGTGTAATTCCTCAATTGTCCAGGTAGGATTCATTGCATGAAAACATTTCACAGCTCATCCAAGCAGCTTCTAGCCTGTTTCATCAGTCGGTTTCACTTTGTGGAAACCATCTGACCTCACAGCGTTAGGATTTGTGCGCTCGATGGTAGGCATGTATTTTTTTATTTAACTAATTGCTGCTATTTGGTCATGATGTATGTAATGTGCAAGTGTGTATATTAAGATTTTCCCAAATCCCGTAGGAAGAAGGGCAATAACGTCTTTCCCCTTGATAAAATTCACCAAACATTCTCTTTGTTCCGGCTTTAAATCCTCGATCTCGGGAATCGTTGCCAACACAGAATGTCTGTCTTAATCTACATCCATCTCAACCACTTTGTTTACTGTTGTGCTGTTCCACAAAAGGGACCCAGACAGACAGGACGAGTTTGACGTCATGGCTTCACAGCTCACACCTGATTGGCCGGTGCACGGTCTACAACTTCCAGGGTTCTTGCAAACTGTCTAGTGTATTCCGATTCCTGACCTAGTCGCTGGACAGAAATGAAATTGAGCGGAGGCACTAGGTGGCACCAGCCTGGCTAAGCAGCTTCTTTGATGAGCTGTGAAATATCTTCACTCAAAAAAAAAACTTTTATCCCATTGACAGAATTGAAATGTTCTTTTGTTATGACCAGAAAGAAATCTGATGATTTTACTGTTTACATTTTAATAATCTCCACACATTTGATAATAATCTGATTTTGAGTGTGTGTGACCACAGCCTTCTGATGTGAATAATCAGACTCATTTGTATTGTACTTTGTCTTTCAAATCCATCAGCTCCTCCCATATGCACTAATCAAGTTTACTATAACATGGCCAGTATATTATTATCCAGGGTTGGACAAATACATACTTTCTTCTCTTATCTTGTGTTTACATTATGATTTCTCTTGTTTGTTGTCAGGAGTGAGTAAGGTGCTGTCCAGTGTGGTGCAGGATGTCGATCTGGTCGTCAGCGGCAACAGTGGAGCTCAGATTGTGCAGGAGTTACTGAGCGCTCCATGGCTCTGTGCTCTGCTCAAGGTAAAACAATGACACACAAAACATTAGCCTCAAATATGGATCTTAACAACCAACCAGTCCAACCGCCTATACTCCACACATATGGAGCTCAACAGTCCTGATCCTGCTTCTGGAAGTCCATTTTCCATAGGAGTTCAAAAGTCTGTAGGAAAAATGAATGTTCTCAGATCTCAGAGGGTTTTTTCTTTCATTTCGTCAGATGTACGAGAGTCTGCTGCAGTTCCAGAGGCTGAGGCCCAGTCCTCTACTGCCGTACTCCACTGGTCTCTCACACGAGGTACTGGAAATGAATGACAAAATGTTATTGTTCATGCTATTCTGTTTCTGCTGCTGTCACTGCAAAGTCAGCATTTGTATTCATTAGATACTTAAATATATATTTTAATTTAAATCTTACGTAGTTGTACTTGTATTTATTTCTTGCAGATAATGTGTGTGATGTCGAAGATCCCACGCCCGTCATCTGAAGCCAGAGAGCTGTTTCGACTCCTCTGCTCTCCTCACATGAAGGTCTCAGCTCATTCATACTTACAAAATCTTGGTGAAAAGATGGTTGCCTGTTTTTCTCAAAAACTCTGGTAACCCTATTTAGAATTAGTTCACAACCTGTAATTTGATTATGTCATAATTTCAGATCCATGGGTCTAAAACCCATGGATCTGAAATTATGACATAATCAATGATCAAAAATTTGGACTGTTGCCATAGCAATGAACAACTCCCAACATATCTTTTATATGGTCAACTGTTCTAAAAATAGAACCATATAACAGAAAGCTGAAACCCATGAATATAACTCTATTGGAGATTTATGGAACATTATCATTGGCAAAGGATTGCATTCACAAACGTTGTGTCAGGTTTTGTTTCATGAAGATAGGCCCAATAAGTATGTCAACAATCCTGATAACCAATCTGACAGTTAAACAGCAAATATAAATGTATTTATACAAAAATAGCAATGCAAAAGGGGCATTTTCATTGTGCAGTTAAAATGTAAAACAGATTAAGGGTAGATTAGAAATACTATATTAAACCAAAGGAAATGTGTTTGTCAAAAGTATAGAAAATCAGATACTTCTTGATACTAAAACTAGTGCTGAAACTAATTACTGACTTGTATCAATACTGAAAAAGTCACATCCACAGGACAGAATGAACCGTATATATAGCTTTAAAATGATCTTGAGCTGTATCTGAAAAAGTATAAGAGCACATAGACTAGTATACATACATAGACCACTATGGAATCTGCCTGGACCTCTGAGGGATTACACAGATTAAAGACTACATGGGAATATAAAAGAAAGTACAATAATTTAATGTTGAAAATCACATTCTATTGTCTAGAGAAAGAGTGTTTTATTTATCATAGAGGTATCTGTATTGAGTATCGAGTCTATTCCTATCGGACATGAGTTTTTAAATTCGAGCTATACTTTTACAGATATACAGTAATGTTGTTCTCTGATGTCTAATTCCTCTTGTATTTGCCCAGGCTCTGCTCAGGTCACATGACACTGTAGCTCAGCAGGACTTTGACCCGGTCCTGGAACCTCTGCCCGATGACCTCCCTGATGATGAGGAGGCCGTGCGCATCGTGTGTCTCGTTAAGAACAACCAACCACTGGTGAGATTTTCTTTGTTATTGTAGATATTTACTCATAGGGCTGTTCTGTAATACAGTAGAGTCTAATCAATTCATAACAAATGAAAAACATGATTTGCAAACTATTTTTTGTGTTAAATTGCATATTATAAATCAGTATTGTTTTAATGTTCATGAAATGTACCAAATGGTGTGCTTATTTATATTTGGTAAGAAGAACTAAATAGATCAATAAGTAGAGCTCGGAGCTGTGTCGTCACATCTCAGAATTTTCAGTCTCGTGTTCTATGTTTTTGACACATATGGGCATGGCTAGAGGCTTCTGTCCTTCCTCTGTGTTCTGTCTGTAATCTGGTCTTGTAGACATGTGGAATGGCAGTGGCAGGGGCAGTAGTGAACACAGCTCTGTAGTGGAAGCTAAACTTTTTTTTTTAGAAGATGGCAAACTAGAACAAACTGCAGAACAAATAAATGCCTCCCTCACCTCACATCACATTTGTTCATTTGTTGCTCAATTTTGTCCATTTTGGTTAATTCTTAATTAACTTTATGCACCCTTTTGTGATTATTTAAGGCAGGGGTGTCAAAACTTTTTTCATCAAGGGCCACATATCTAAACACAGATGAAGCAGAGGGCCGATCGAGGGCCGTAGACTGGAGCGCAATACAGTGAATAATTAAAATATGTGCATGTTTAAACACATTAGAATGAGCCATCAGTCTGTATTCATGCTAAGATCCTTAAAACTAAACGCTAAATATTAAATATCAGCTTTATCAAGGTAGATTTTCAAAAAACTTGCAGTAAAAAGTTCATTGTTAATTGATACAAGATAATTAGGTCCAATTCACCTGGAAGCCTGAGGGCCAAGAAAATTTTGTCTGAGGGCCGCATTTGCCCCACGGGCCATAGTTTGGACATGCCTGGTTTAAGAGAATGCAGCCTTGTTAGAAACGTTTGGAAGTGTAAATGCAGTGATGGGTACCAGACGTGGAACGCACTGATTTCAGACCAGACCTTCCTGGTTCACGGAGGATAAAATGATCTATAATTAGATGCTTTTACAATATTTCTGTACTGGGGCAAAACAAAATTGTCCCTTTGTTGCACAAAAAGAATCATACAGCCCATGTAAAGGTCTTCTATTGGATGAGCACCATGAGCAAACACATTTTGATACAACATGTTCATCCCTTATGTTTCAATACTGTGTACAGACGCTTTGACTACTACCACTAATGCTTCTGACCATTTGTTTAACATCAGTGGGGGAGTTTGCACCGTGAGCCACAGAGGAGGAGGGCGTGGTCAGGGGAGGGGCTAGCCGCACCCGAAAGTGTAGCTCGACTCCTCCCATTTCACCACAGCCTCTCGACTAAGCCTTTCCTGCCCCAGTACCAGTCCACAGGAAGCTGCTGTGTTTGCCCTCAGGCATGGAGGGCAGGGCTTAACCAATCAGCCCCCTCTGTCTGTAGCCCCGCCCCCTACAGCGGTAAGAATGAGGAAGTGATGTCATTTCATACCATCCAGCTATCCATCAAGAACCCTCATAAAACAGCATCTTAATATACCACATTGTTTTGTTGGTCATGGTTTCACTCCTGCCTTCAGTAGAGAAACTGGATTCATATGGATTGAGTTTTCTTGTCACTGAAGCTGTACCTTACCTTACCTATGAATGGCAAGAAGTGAAATATTTCAGTCTTTCTGTTGTTGGATCATCATAATTCATTCTTTCATTGTCACTTTTAACCAATTCATTCATGAAACCATCTAATCACTTTTGATTAAGGGTGTAACAGTACAAAAATCACGGTTTAGTACGTGCCTCAGTTTTGAGGTCAAGGTTCATTTCATTTTCAGTACAGTATGGAAACAAAATGTAAAACCATTTGCTTGTTGTTTATTTGTGTTTATTAAACCAACAATTTGTTTTAATATTATAGAAACGGGATAATAAAATAAATGCAAAGTGCTGCGTGGTAATACTAATAAGTTAAATAAAATATTATCAAATAAGCAACAAATGCATGAAATATTATAAAAAAATAAATTCCTTGTAAACAGTAAACTAAACTTTTCAAAAAGTAAAGCGCAGCACGAACAGTTGAAGCATGAAGTTTTACTCAGTCTTCATATTTTTTTCCACAAAAAACAACTTGTCCACATTGTCTGCAGTAAGTGCAGATCTGCTGCAGTTCCAATGTCCCCAGCAGCTGAAATAACCTTTCAATAGGGACAGAGAACCCTGGGATGGGGAGTATGGGAGAGATTCTGTGTCGGCAAAAGGCGAAAGTGAGGACCGCGTGGTTCGGATGGACGTAGTCAAGGCGGGGGACAACTGTTGTCAAGGTGGCCACTTTAACTATAAAGCGCTGTGGGAAACACTGCCACCCCAATGACGGATGAGTATTAAAGAGCCACACACACACACAAATTGTGCAAATTCACACGTGCACAACCCTGCACCGAACCGAACGTCCTGTACCGAAACTATTCAGCACGAATACATGTACCGTTACTAGGGATGTGAATATTTGGCAAAAACACTATTCGAAAATCAATGACAGCTATTCGAATATTATTTGAAAATCGACCCCCCTTCCCCCGCCCGCACGCACACGTGCATATACGAGATGACAGATGGGGTATTTAAGCGCAAAAGTTTTAATCAAACAACAACATTCCAAATCAGAAATGAACATCTTAATTGAGCAACTCACATATGAAACAATATGAAATTATATTCAAGACTATCTCAATTTTAAAAACACATGACCAAGCACATACTGTAGCCCACTGCACTACTTTCATTGAGCTGCCCGCTGCAGAGACTCGCTCCGATGGCACAGACGTCGCAGACACACCTAAGTAAGCGCTTGCTAACTTTGTCAATCGGGGGTATTTCTGTCTGTTTGTTTTCCACCATGTCATCGGGTCAGTGTGGAGCGGTGGGCATATATCCTGGCAGTACTGAGTTCATTTGCGCATGTTCCTGTGTTTGGGCGTGTTTCGTTCTCAGATGGCTCTGCATGGTAGTGGTTGATCTATGGCTTGCTAGCGTCACCTGACAGATTTTACACTGAACCTCTTTGTCATTTAACAAAGTAAATGACGACCATATGGAACTTTTACTTGCTTTCTGCATTGCTAATGCGGCGCGGTAAGTTTTCTTCTTCTGTTATTCCGGAGCAGCCTCTACACTCTGCCTAGTCTACCGCGCCTACAGAGTTTTACAGTCTGTTAGCGCCACCTTCTGGCCGAATGCCGTACATGAAATATTGGTTAGGAAACGTCGTTATTCGAAATTACTATTCGATATTTGAACGTATGACGAATATTCGACTATTCGAAAATCATGTCTCATCCCTAACCGTTACACCCCTACTTTTGACAATCTCTTCCAACGTGTTCACTAGTGATGGGACTTCTTGTGTTGCCTACACTGCTTCTGTGCTGATTCTTGTCTTGGTTCAACATAAAGCTGTGTAAAATGCAAAAAACTCAGTTCCAATCATTCATGTTAAGGAACCTTTCAAAAGAGCCAACTTGTTCATGAACATCACATCACTAATGTTCACCAAGTTCAAAACAAAACACTAACATATTGCATCTTGATTTTTCATGACACCAGCTCTAAAAGCAGTTTAAGTTTCAATTTTCAATCTTGTTTTCTTGTGCTTTCGAATCAGAAGGACCCAAATGGAGCAACAGCACTGATGAATATTCGGTCCCTCCTCCTCCAGTCCCGGTCTGCAGTCTGAGCCTCCCCAACTCTCCTGCTCTGCACAAAAAGACCAGCACGTATGAACCTCAAAATCCGTCAATCTCCGCTCAGAACTATACCTCGAACTCTCTCCCCTGCAGTCCAGCCATGCACCGCTCCATTCCTCCACAAGGGGGCGGCACTCAACACACCTGCCTCCCCAGACACCGAGAAGATCGCCAAAACATCTACTGCAACTTCTCCCAAGTCCAAATGAAGCAGATCAACCAGCAACGCCCCGTGTTACGCAAACAACGAAGCATAGACGAGCTAAGATCTGTCGTGCAAAACATGGCCAGCGCTTTTAGCAATGAGGACGTCCGCCATCTTGGGCACAAAATGGCCACAGCGACAGAGCTAATGACGGACAGCGTAGAAGAGAACGCCCAAGCTCTGAACTTATTGGTTGAGGTCGTGGACAAACTTCAGGGGTTGATCGTCGCAAGTAAAAGCCAACCGTCGTCGCCGCAAAATCACCCGAAACATAAACAACGAATACCTCCTCAACCTCCAAGAAGAGTTTCGTCTTTGTCTCCTAAAATAGTTCGTAAAGCTCCAACGCGGTACCCACATCTGTTATCGACGTCTTCCTCCTCTAGTTCCTGTTCGTCTTCTTCAAATTCGCTACATTTTTGCCCAGATGCTTACAAACCGTCGAGAAGAAGTGACCCCAAAAAGTCAGTGACGTTTGGTAGTAGAAGCAATGGACAAGTGAGGCTAAACAACGGCTCTGTGTCAAGAGCGCCCTCTAGTGACCAATATGACTGTAACACCAGCTGCTTGACCACTAAGAAGAAGAAAAAGAAATAGTTAGCTGTAGTTGCAGTTAGGGATGGGCATGATTAGTCGACTAATTGGTAATTGATCATTAAGAATTTTGAATTTTAAGATTTTACTAATCACTTTTAAAGCTCATTTAGGTCTTGCACCAAGTTACATTTCAGGACTTTTAGCCCAGTATGAGCCTCAGGCAGGTCCCTGTGGCTGTTCCAAAGTCCAGGTTCTGGATGAACGGGATGGAACCTTTTCAGTCCGGGCGCCTCGGCTTTGGAACTGAGGAGATAAGACTTTCACTATCAGCATCATCTTTTAAATCACTTCTTAAAACTCATTTTTATCGGTTGGCCTTCCTGTAACTGGTTTTAGCTTGATTTTTTTCCACATTTCTTTTTATTGTATTTCTTTTTATTTCTTTATTGTATTTTTTGGATTGTTTGCATCATTGTGTATTTTCGTATGCTTTCTGAATGCTGTTTTTATGCTTTTTGTATTATTCTTTGTTGCTTGTACAGCACTTTGTAAATCTTATTTTTAAAAGTGCTTTTAAAAGATTTTATTATTATTATTATTATTATTATTATTATTATGTAACTAAAGAAAACCACAAAGTTTAAAAAATGTAAATGTAAAAAAGAAAAAGCACACAAAACAAGCTATTTTGCGATGTCAGTTTGGTAAATCATTTTGTTTTATTATGTGTGTAGAATCCCTCAGTCATCCAGGTAGAATCCACGGCAAAAAAAGAAATTCAATTTGTTCCTTATATCTGCCTAAAGGGAGGAGCTAACTACACTGAAACTATTCTGAAACTAACACTTGTTTACACTTGTTTGTTTTAACTTGTTTACAGTTTCTGTTTGGTAGCTAGGCCTATTGAACTTGCACTGAGTGTGGGGTTGTATTAGCATAATCATTCAGGACCATAATGGGAGCTTTTGTTTTATTAGATAAAACTAGGGTGACCAGACTTCCCTTTTTACTCAGAATAGTCCCAGTTTTGAGTCCCGTGTCCTCTATCCCAGTAGATTTAAACAAAACCAGTGATTTGTCCCATTTTTACACAAGAAATGTCCCAGACCTCCTTATTTTTGACAAATCTGATCCCCACTAACCATACATAGGGAATATACTGTCATTTATTTAACTAAAACACAGAAAACCACACTTAAAAATGCACAAAAGTAGCTCAGATTATACACTGACCCACAAGTGAGTCGAGAACAGACAAACATGTGCTCTTTTCACAGTTTTATTAATCAAAGTCTGGTCACCTTAGTAAAAAAAATATATATTAGTACAGTCCATATTAAATTTCATTGAAGTCATGATTTTAAGTAAAAATGTTTCATAATGTTTTAATATCCAGGCTGCTATGTTTATATGCTGTGTCTATGAATGTGAATAAATCAAGTTATGATTTTAATAATATCATTTTCTGGTCAATATAGTACAGCGCGTCCTTGTTCAGACTTGGTTTAGACCTTGTTGCATTGTGTTTTTAATGTAATAATTTTGACACTGCAGGTAAGTAACAAGATGAAAATGTATAGCTTTTTGGTCGTACATTCATTAATTAAATACAGTTTGTCTTTTTACTTTTATCTATCGATTTTCACTTGTTTGGCACTAAGATTTTGTATGATTCTTTAACAGGGCGCAACAATAAAACGGGATGAGAAGAATGGAGAGATCTACATCGCCAGAGTCATTCATGGAGGACTGGCTGATCGCAGCGGTGAGAAACATCTAATTTTATTCCACTAGTAGGAATAAAATGATAATATTTTTGCTGTCATTGATTAAACTTACATCCATATTTTTACATTTGAAGTTACTTGTTGATCAGGGCAAAAATTTAAGTTAACTGGACAATTAAAAAGTCTGGAAGAGGACATGGTTCAATCCTGGGCTAGTCCTATGTCCCATCCACATTATTACGTATTTGAGTCGTTTTCGTTGTGGATGCAGTGTTCGTTCACACTAATCCGATTGAAAACAGCTCCAGAGACGCAACGATCTGGTGCCACCAGCTCCCACGAATTCATCTGAGCACAGATCTGATCCGGCACTGTGTGGACGCCTGAAAACTCTTATACGCTGATGTAGGTCTATGCACCACAAAGTAATTCACCACCAAAATGCTAAGAGGCTAGAATATATGTCCATTCATATAAACGGTTTGTGTACAACCTGCAGACGTATAATCTCTGAAAAGCTTAACATGAACCATCTCCAATGCCACAGAACAGACTCATCATCAGCAGAACACCCCTCTGTCACAGAATGAACCCTCATATTCCACTGAGTCGTGTCCTTTAGTCCGACAGAAGCTGAACCGCATCATCGCACAATAGCGAGCAGTTTTTTGAGCTCTTCGTTTATGCAAATGTAGCACTTGCCACACTAGGGGTTTAGTACAGATATGAAGTATAGTAGTAGTAATAGTAATAACAACAGGCTAGATCAGAAGACAGGGTTCGGCTCGGAGGAAGTGAGGTGTTTAATAGTCACTTACACAGGATTGTAGTGCTTAGTTGTGGTGTTATTATTTACAGTGTACCAACAGACAGTATTTACAATATTTACAGATGTGCACATTCATGTGATTGCGTTCAGAGTTTATGAGAAGTTCAATGCGTTATAGTCCTTAGTCCAAGTGCAGTTGAGCAGCAGCAAAAGTTAATATAATCCATAGGGGGGTCATGTGAAAGGCAAAAAAAGAGAGTTCTGGAGATGGTTATGGTAAGGTGGGTGATTTCCAGCAGAGTCAATGAGGGACCCAGTGCCCACAGCAGGGGGCAGTGGGTGTGCTAGTGTGTGTGTGGGGTTGAGCGGCTGCTACGCCTCCTACCGCACCGGCAGATGCTTGCACTCTGAGTTTGGTTTGGGCAGTAGGCCTTAGCTCGCCATCCAGTGTCTGAGAGTCCAGTTTCTGGAGAGTTCAGTTTCTGTAAAGTCCAGTTCTGGACCTGGCCTGTGCAAAACAGGACCAGAAGTCAGTAATACCAATTATTTTGCATAATCAGAATCACGCGTACATGTACCAGGTCACGCGCCATGGCTCAAGCGCATCAGCACGCATTAGCATTAGCATTAGCATTAGCTCCGCACAGCAACAAACAAAGTGAACTCACCAGTTCCACTTAGTTTAAGCTCAAGGGGATCTCGACAGCACTTCGTCGTTAAGGCAAGAGGCATCTAGGGAAGTTGATGGCATAAGAGTTACTTTAATATACTTTTAGAGTGAAATAGTGAGTTTTTAGAGCAGTAATGGCCCACCTGCAGCAGCTCAGTCACACCCGGGACCGACACGCGTGGCCATGTTTAAAGAGCTTGGCGCAATTAGTCTCGCGATACGTGCGAAGTCTCGCGATAGTTGAGAACAACGGCGGCCAAAATATAAGGTAGAGCGGGCCAGGGACAGAAAAAATACCTGGGTTACACAAATGAGCCATGTGGTTTTAAATTTTGTCTCTGTAAAACGTAAACAAATATGCTCAAAGCTGTGTGGATAGGGAAGACTTGCAGACACAGAAACGACGTGTCTGGACGCAATTGTTTCCGATATGGTGATACGGTTATATGTCGGATTTGTTACAGTGTAAACGTAGTCCTAGTTCAGGCCTATAGTTCTGGCTCAGATCTGTTTTTTCCTGGTTTAGTTTTGGTTTAAATGTGGTTTAATCCTCTAGTATTGGATTAGTCATGGTTTAGTCCTGGTTTAGTCATGATCAAGTCCTGGTTTTGTCCATGTTTGGTTGTGGTTAAGTCCTGTTTTAGTCCTGGTTCAGCCCTGGAGTCCTGGTTTAGTCCTGTTAATCTTAGGGCCTATTTACACGAGAATGCTTGCAGGTAAAAACAACAAAATTATCAGAAGTGCCTTCCGTTTAGACAATGACAGTGTTTTTGGGGCTTAAAAACGTAAAAATCTGAAACCACCCTCCAGAGTGGAAAAGTTGAATGAGCTCTGCTGTAGTGTTTCCATCTACACTGCCCAAGACGCTAAACTCTGGTCAGATCTGCTCAGGTCGCATACGCGTTTACGTCACATACATACAGTACACAGAAACAAAAACCTTTCTCTGCTCTGGCCGCTCTAATAAATTTACAGGAGGCTTCCAACAAATGTACAGAATATGCACAGATACTATCCGTGAACAGAGAAGGATCTGCAATCACCTATGTCAAATTCTGGATGGACCACTTCATTTGCCTGATTCATTTTCACTTCGTAGAAACCGTCTGACCTTGCAGCATTAGGATTTGTTCACTCGACAGTAGGCGGGTACTTTTTATCATTTAACCAATCGCTGTTATTTGGTCGTGACGTATGTAATGCACCTCTAATGGGTATAACTGGTATATTAAACTTTTCCCAAATCCCATAGGAAGAAGAGGAATAACATCTTTGCCCTTGATAAAATTCACCAAACATTCTCTTTGTTCCGGCTTTAAATCCTCGATCTCGGTAATCGTTGCCAACACAGAATATATGGCTCTTTGCTGATTGGCTGGTGCCCGAACTTGCACTTTTGGAATTTTTGCACACCATCTAGTGCAGGCATGTCCAAACTATGGCTCGTGGCCAAATGCAGCTCTCAGACAAATATTTCTTGGCCCTCAGGCTTTCAGGAGAATTGGCCCAAATGACCTTGCATCAATGAAAAATGTACTTTATATTGCAAGTTTTTTTTTTTTTTTATCTACCTGGATAAAGCCGATATTTAATATTTAGTGTGTAGTTTTAAGGATCTTAGCATGAATACAGACTGATGGCTCATTCTAATGTGTTAAACATGCACATATTTCAATTATTCACTGTATTGAGCATCAGTCGATTGACCCTCTGCTTCGTCTGTGTTTAGATATGTGGCCCTTGATGAAAAACGTTTGGACACCCCTGATCTATTGTATTCTGATTCCTGACCTAGTCGCTGAAGAGAAATTAAATTGAGCGGAGGCACTAGGTGGCGCCAGCCTGGCTACCAGTTCGTTGCAGGCGAGCCAGACAGCATGCTCACCCAGTTGAATTCCACACACTTTTGCGTCACTGTATGCACGCAGATTTCCTCCCATAAACGCTCGTCTAGATGTGGAATAAAAAGTGAAGACGCAACGCCACTTTTGTATCTTCTGTTCAGAATGTCATCATATAAACGTAGCCTTAGTTTAGTCTTGGTTTCATTCTGGTTTAGGCCCTGCTTTGGTCCATGAATCACTGCTTGGGGTCTTTATCTAACTATCTGTCTGTCTCTGTGTCTAATCCATCAGGTCTCCTTAATGCTGGTGATGTTTTGCTTGAGGTGAATGGAAACCCAGTGGCAGGTTTAGAGCCAGAGCAAGTCATAAAAATACTGGTAATAATGATCTAAATAAAAGCAGTATGGCTGATTTTTAAAACATAATTACTGATTGTGGTTTTTCTGTTCCAGGTTAATTCACACGGCACAATTTTGTTCAAAGTCATCCCAAACTCAAGTCAGACCTGCAGCACCCAAAAGCCAGTAAGTGTCTTTGTTTGTTTGTGTAAAATCCTTAATCTGTTAATGGTACATTATGTCATTTTTCTGGTAGTTGGTCAGTCAGTCACCTGTTTGTCTCTGGGAGAATCTTTTCACTCTGCACGGGATGTTCTTCAATACGGCATTAAACATACTCAACATTTATTCAGTTACGGGTGTTTTTATTGCTTCAAACTACTGAAAAACAGTCTCAACAGTCTTTTTAAAGTTACAGTTTAAGCCACAATATAGACCATGTTTTCCATGTTGGTTTTTGTGCCTCCATGGAAATACTTTGGCTGTAATATTCCACAGAATAGTACAAAAAGGAAATGTTCTTAAGTATGGTTTTAACTTCCACAAAATTTCTGAGCATTATTGTCAGTGATAATCTAAATCGTAAAGAGCAGCTGACTGGGTGACCAGAAAAATGTATAAATCTCTTGGTATTGTAAGAAAGTTTGTACATTTCTGGACTCAAAAGTATACTAAGTATACTTACATTATACTATAGTTTAATTTATCCCTATCTGTCAAAGTGTAATATAGTCTGGACAAGCACTTTCTCAACTACTATATTATTGCTGCAAAAACATTTTGTTCAAATTGCAGCTCATGCCACTAACACTGTCTGCTTAACATTCTTAATATTTGTATGAGATTAATATTCATACATTTTTTATTTTTAGGTATAACATTTTTTATAATTCAACTATGATCCTCAAATATTTCACATTTTACTTTAAAACCAATGCAGAGATTCATAGATACAATACTCATCAAAATCCCAATTTTCATGCTCCAAACACGGGAAACTGTGGAGCAGTTTTCACATCTGGTTAGTGAGGCACATCAGAGGCGTTGTTTAAAAAGAGTTTGAGGAAATGTTTGATATTTCATGATAATGCCTGATAATCATTCAATTGTGAATGTTTCATAGTGTTTATATCCATGTTTGAATCAAATGAAATTAATCCAAGGTTGTAAAAGTAATTTATTTATTTATTTATTTTAATGCACAGTGATCATGTAAAATTTGTATGTATTCATAAGGTGGAGGCTTTAATATCAGCCCAAAAATCAATTTTTGCCTCTTCCAGTACCAGCTTTTTATTCTAGTGTTTTTTTTTGTTTTTTCTTATTGATACATTATATACATGAAAAAAAAAAAAAAATTTCCATGGAATGATGCAGATCACGTGCCACTTCCAGAAAGTTACCTACTATGCCTTAAATGTGAGCGCTGTTGCCTCTCCACAAAAGTGACATTAAACTTGGCCTGGTGGTGTCGCCTGCTTGTCTTTTTGAAGATAAATATGTTTAATGCCATGGAACGCTCCAGACAAAGCAATAACATCTCTATGGAGACAAGCAGGTGGTGGACCCTACACCCGTGAAGTGACGTAGTGCAGCTTTAAGGGTGAGTTACATGACATGGAAATATAAACTTCCCATAATTTCACTCTGAGCTGGAGGGCAGGGCAGAATTCTATCATAAAATTTCCTGTTTACCAAATGACCTGATTCAAATATTTTGTCCTGGTTTTTAATGCTTTTACTAGCTCTGTGCTCCCATGAAACAAAAAACGGGCACAAAGTTTTCATCCGTGTCCAGGAAATGAATATAAATCATTGTAATGAAAGCCCAGCACATGTTTTTTGTTTTTTTTGTTTGTTTGTTTGTGTGTGAGGTGTACATGCGAGCGATGGTGGACTACTGCCCCCTGGAGGACAGCTCTATCCCCTGTCCTGCTGCAGGCGTGGGCTTCTCTCGGGCCGATATTCTGGAGGTGGTGGACCAGTCGGACGGACAGTGGTGGCAGGCGCGCAGACTCCCCTCCTCTGGCTCCTGCGCTGGACTCATCCCCTCTGCCAGCAACCTCAAGAGGTACGAACCCTTATACAGCGTTTTCACAACAACGAACGGCGACATGCTGATCTAAATATAATAAAGGTGCTTTGTGTAACTTTTCTCACCTGCTTGTTTCTATGGAGATGTCATTGCAGTGCCTGGAATGTTCCACAGTGTGACATTAAACAGCTCTACCTTACATTTATTTAATTACAGGTGGTTTTGTAGCTCAAATAAACTGACATTCTGACTTCTAGAAAATCTGACCTGAAACTTGGTCTAGGTTTGGTCTCCATGACGATAGAAAGGTTTAATGCCATGCTGTGAAATATTCCAGACAAAGCAATAACATGTCCACGGAGAAAAGCATTTGACAGAGCCTCCATCAGAAAAGTTACACAGTGCACCTTTAAGTCCGTAATACCCTTTCCCTTTAACTTTTGTATTTGTTCATTCCAATACAAAAGTTATGATTTGTTGTTTCGCAGTAAGCAGAGGGAGCAGTGGTGGTGTCAGCCTTTACAGTCTCACACCTGCATCAAACCACGTGAGTCCTCCTGGTTTTATGTACTGTATTTTTCTATAACACTATAAGTCGCTCTGGAGTATAAGTCACACCAGCCAAAAAATGTGTAATGAAGAAAAAAACATATATAAGTTGCGCCGGACCATAAGTCGCACTTTCTGGGGGAAATCTTTTTTTTAGAAAATCAGAGACCAGAAACCGAACATTTCCTGTTGAAAGTCAAGTTCTAGTAATAACAATAGAAGAGAGAACAACAGACTGTTAACGTCACATATGAACAGTTCTTCAGATAAACTATAACATAAACAACAGAACAGAACAAGTTTAACAAACTCTCCATCTCACTCCAAATCACTAAATCCATTCAATTCTTTATCCTCGGTGTCACTTCTGAACAACTCCATGACCTCCGGAGGTAAACGGAGAGCTGTTTCCTCTTCTGTGTAGCTGTCGTCAGACTCAGCATCAGTTCCAGTTAGAATTATTCTGGTCTTTCTGAATCCCGACAGGATGGTTTCAGTGTCACTGAAGTCCAGACTTTGTCCATTCATCCAGTGACTTCAGGAAAGTTTCATGGTGCATCCTCCCAGTGTCACAAATTTCTCACTCACTCCAAACTTTCTTTCTGCTGCTCGATTACCGTTTTCAGATGCAGATTTCATGACTTGCAGTTTGTAATCTGCAAAATCTGATTTTATTTTGGGGGCATTTGTGTTCAGTCTTCTCAGTCGTCTTTATAAGTTTGTTTAAATTGTTCAGAGGTACAGAAGTAATGTGATCGACTGACATGATACAGACAGAACAAAGGCTCTTTCTGCAGGAGACATGCGCAGTAGAGTGAACTTCACTCTACAGTGATGCAGGAGGAACAGGAGCAGCAGATACTGACACACAAGACTAAAGCGCCCTCTTGTGGCTGTCAGTGTGAACATTTTAATATTGAAGTCGCACCAGAGTATAAGTCACAGGAAACACCCAAACCATGAAAAAAGTGCGATTTGTTAGTCCGAAAAATACAGCACATCATACCTGATCTGATCATTTGATATTTTATTGACTAACGTTTTGTTTGTTTTTTTCTGCTGCTGACAGTGACTTTGGGAGACAATGGTGAGTGACCTTCAGCCATATACTTACCCCTTACCTTAATGAAATAATGAAAGGTCCACTATGGAAGTTTTTCAATGTTTCTCTCTATGGAGATTTATTGAATTCAGGTGTAATAATAGTTGAAAAAATTGATTCACCTCACCACAGATCTGACCTGTAACTTGGCCTGGCTTTTGCTTTTCTGAATGGAAATAGACATGTGCTAATACAGTAGTAGTAGTAGTTTATTCGGTCATTTTGCAGCACTACAAAATAAAACAAAACAAAACTTCGACTACAACTCCATAGATCATGATCAAAAGGGTTTAGGGGCTAAAGTAAAAAGTACTAATAAAGCCAAACCCTATAAAACAGAATTCCAAGAAATAAAGCAACATATGAACAGCAAGTTTGCATTTACGACTTACTGTATATATAAAAGACAAAATATAAGTTAAAACAAACAAAATTTTGTGCATCAGCTGCTGGAGTTGTTTATTTATTTTTGCTGGATTTATTTGTAATGGACAGCTCAAACTCTATTGGTGTTTCTACACAATTTTCATTTTGTTGTATGTGTACAGAGAAAGACCAAACTGAAATGGATGACCAGAACATTGCAGCAGGTACGAAGAAATTTAACAGCAAAAATTAGAACATTATTTTCACTGCATTTTCAAATTATAATTCTCGTTTTTTTTATTTCTTCCTCAGATGCAGAAGATTTAAACATGGGTGGGTAAGTGTGTTTCAGTAGCTTAGAGTTTAGCTTTTAGTGCAGTATTTTAACTTCATGAATGTGGTACTTTTGAGTGAAATCATGTTTGTTTATTGATTTACTTACCCTCCTTTTTACAGATGACGTCGATGCAGATGAAATGGACAAGTTGTATCTTGGTAAGACTGATTTCGAATTTTCTCCACGAACTAAAAAACAAATTTTAGAGTCTTGGTTAAGATCTACTTTGAAGCTGGTTTATTCCTCCGCTCAGGTCCTCACTATCTCTTGGTTGAGTTCCAAGTTTCCTGTCCAGATATAGTTCTTATTTATACTTGGTTTAATCCGGTTTTAATCCTGGTTTGGTCCTGGTTTAGTCCGCGTTGGTGGTAAATCCTGATTTAGACCAACTTCAGTCCTGATTTGCCTCTTGTTCAGTCCTGTTTTAATCCTGGTCCAGTTCTAGATCTGTTCAGGTTTTAGTCTTGGTTTAGTCCTGGTTTAGTCCTGATTTAGTCTTGGTTTAGTTCTGGTTTGGTCCTGGTATAGTGCTGGTTAAGTCCTGGTTTCGTCTTGTTTTTGTCCTGATTTATGCTCGATTTAATCCTGGTTTAGTCCCAGTTTAGGCCCTGTTTAGTCCTGGTTTAGTCTTGATTTAGTTCTGGTTTAGTCCTGGTTTAGTTCCAGTTTAGGCCCGATTTAGTTCCGGTTTAGTCCTGGTTTAGTCCTGGTTTAGTCCCAGTTTAGGCCCTGTTTAGTTCTGGTTTAGTCCTAGTTTAGTTCCAGTTTAGGCCCTGTTTAGTCCTGGTTTAGTCCTGGTTTAGTTCTGATTTAGTTCTGGTTTAGTCCTGGTTTAGTGCTGATTTAGTCCTGGTTTAGTTCTAGTTTAGTCCTGGTTTAGTCCCAGTTTAGGCCCTGTTTAGTCCTGGTTTAGTCCTGGTTTACTTCTGATTTAGTTCTGGTTTAGTCCTGGTTTAGTCCTAGTTTAGGCCCAATTTAGTTCTGGTTTAGTTCTGGTTTAGTCCTAGTTTAGTCCCAGTTTAGGCCCTGTTTAATCCTGGTTTAGTTCTGGTTTAGTCCTGGTTTAGTCCTGATTTAGTCCTGGTTTAGTCCCAGTCTTAGTCCTGTTTCCGGTTTCTTCTCAGCTGGTTTCGTAGAAGTTTTCGTTTCTGGCGGAGGAGTTCATTGAGGAGGAGGAGGCAGTCTTGTTCATCCTGTTGCCCCGGGAACAGCGCTTTGGCCACGCCCTACGAGGAAGTGACTCTGTACCAGCGCCCCCTAGAGGACACGCACAGACTCATCGTTCTTGTGGGTGAGAGAAAAATACTCCTTAATCTTCTGTCTACATTCTTACATTACACACACAGGTATTTCAGTACATCTTATATTTCTTATATTATATTGTATAATTTGAAGGTGTATTATGTAACTTTTCTAATGGAGTACCTGTTGCCTGCTGTGCCATGTTATCACTTTGCTTGGAATGTTCCACAATACACCATCTATTTTGTGTTCATTTAGTTACAGCATTTTTTATGGCTACCAAAAACATTCTTACTGTGAGCGGGGTTGCCTCTACACAGATCTGACTTATAACAAATCCTGACAACATCATCTATTTTTTGTTTTGTTTTAATGAATACAGATACAGTATGATGCCATATTGTGGAACGTTCCAGGTAAAGCAACTGCCATGGAGACAAATCTTTCATCCAAATTTAGATTTCCATTTGAATCCTCCTTTTTAAAACATAAATCACAAATTTAATCATAATACTTGCTAGGGGTGTAACGGTACATGTATTTGTGTAGAATTGTTTCGGTATGGGACGTTCAGTTCGGTGCAGGGCTGTGCATCAGTGAATTTGCACTATTTTTGTGTGTTTACATTCTGCCACTACATGTGCAGCTACACGGAAGGTTGTGCTCTTTAATATTCACGAGAGAAGTCATCCGTAATTGGGGCAGTGTTTCCTGCAGTGCTTTATAGTTGTGGAGGCCGCCTTGACAACAACTGCCCTCCGCCTTGACTATGGCCCTCCGAACCACGTGAATCCTCGCAAAACTACAGTCATAGCACCACAGTCCTCACTTGTGCCTTTCGTAGGCACAGAATCTCCACTCCCCACTCACATTGTAACTGCAGCAGATGTACACTTACTGCAGACAATGTGTGCAAGTTGTTTTTTTCTGTCCAGAAATGAAGAATATGAAGATTAATTAAAACTTCATGGTGAAACTGTTAGTGCTGCACTTTACTTTTTTGAAAAGTTTTCTTTACTATTTACAAGGAATTTATTTGTTTATAATATTTCATACATTTGTTGCTTATTTGAGAATATTTTAGTGAACTTATCAGTAAACTTATCAGCAGCATTTATTTTATTTTCCCGTTTGTATAATATTAAAACAAATTGTTGGTTTAATAAACACACAAATAAACAACAAGCAAATGGTTTTCATTTTGTTCCCATACTGTACCGAAAATGAACCAAACTGTGACCCCAAAACCGAGGTATGTAGCGAATGTGATTTTTTTGTACCTTTACATCCCTGTTACTTGCTATAATACGTGTTTGGGTTTTTTTGTTTTTCAAAATTGTGCAGCTCTAACTTCATTTATGAACTTATGCAGTGTTTTCCTTTGCTCAGGTGCATCAGGTGTTGGAGTCAATGAACTGAGGAAGAGGCTGATCAGAATCAACCCTTTAATTTTCCAGGGACCTGTTCCACGTAAGTTATTAGACTCCAGAATGAGGTTTGTTATAACTCAGACTGACTCTAGCCAACAGTTTTTCACTTTTTGTTGAAAATCAAAGGCCTAAATATTTCCATCAACACTCATATTGATCAAAGTGCTGCACATAATAGTAATATAAACCAACATTTAGTTCTAAAAGGCAGTAGGATTGGATGCATTTACATATTTCCTGTCCATTCAGATGGTGTTTCTTATGTGGTCTGCTGTTTTCAGACACGTCGAGGCCGATGAGAGCGGAGGAGCAGACTGGACGAGAGTACCATTTTGTGAATAGAGAGCAGTTTGATCAAATGATCTCCAACCACAGGTACAATGCTGATAGTAATTCTTAGCTCCTCCTACTGAGTTTAAAATGCAGGGGGGTCTGGGATCAGGCTCATTTCTATGATCCGGTCTCAGCAATCACTAGGGATGGAACAAAAACTGAAATGTCATGATACGGTATCGTCAAAAGTCTCACTATAATTAGACCCTCACAATTGCTTTTGCCTCACCATGGTGCAGCGATAGATTAGACTAAAATCAGAGGGAATTGTTATGGTGGTTGTTATGGTTGTTATGGTGGTTGCTATGGTGATTACTATGGTGGTTGTTATGGTGGTTGCTATGATGGTTGTTATGGTGGTTGCTATGGTGGTTGTTATGGTGGTTGTTATTGCAGTTGCTATGATGGTTGTTATGGCGGTTGCTATGATGGTTGTTAGGGTGGTTGTTATGGTGGTTGCTATGGTGGTTGTTTCATAACAACTTGCATATGGTGTGGTTGGTTAACCACCATAGCAACCACCCTAACATCCACCCTAACAACCACCATAGCAATCACCATAACAACCACCCTGACAACCACAGTAGCAACCACCATAGCAACCACCATAACAACCACCATAGCAATCACCATGGCAACCACCCTGACAACCATAACAACCACCATGACAACCACAGTAGCAACCACCATAGCAACCACCATAACAACCACCATAGCAATCACCATAACAACCACCATAGCATTCACCATGGCAACCATCATGGCAACCATCATAACAACCACCATAGCAACCATAGCAACCATCATAACAACCACCATAGCAACCACCAACATAACAACCACCATAGTAATCACCATAGCAATCACCATAACAACCATAACAACAACCATAGCAACCACCATAACAGCCACCATAGCAACCAGACTGGTTCAGTTTACATTACCCCTGTCCACAAAAATGTGGCATTTCTTCCTCCTTAATCACGCTGCTGGCTTCTTTTCCCCTAACAGTAAAAAATATTAGTGTTTAATGGAAATCTATCCAAATACAAAAGTTTGAGCTGACTTTTCATCACATTAGCTGCAGATTACTAGGGAAACTTTTAGCTCAAAGCTCCATGGTTGACGCAGTTAAAAGCAAACTTATCTGACAGTTTTGTGGGAGTTATGGTCGTGTTTTTCTTTTACAGTTGTGTTAGTGATGATTTTATAAAGTTGAAAGTGTGTACTCATGTTTTCTCTGTTCTACGCACAGGATTTTCGCTCCATATTTTTGTCATGGCAGCACACATTTTTTTTGCCCCAGAATGCACTGTGCAGGCCACTTCCATTCCCTATTGACTGTACTTACATATTGTGGTGTGTTTAGGTTTGTAGAGTACGGGGAGCACAGGGGACATCTGTATGGAATCAGTTTTGAGGCGACTGAAGAAGTCCTTCAGCAGGGACGGATCTGTGTCATCGACGTTGAACCAAGAGTGAGTCAATGCATCTGACCCTCTCCTCTACTCCTCTGACCCTCTACCAGCTCCATCTGACTCTCTCCTCTGCTCCATCTGACCTTCTCCTCCTCTGACCCGCTCCTCTGTTCCTTTGAACTTCTCCTCTGTTCCTCTGACCCTCTCCTCTGCTCTTCTGACTTTCTCCACTCTGCTCCATCTGACCATCTCCTCTCTGCTCCTCTGACCCTCTCCGTTGCTCCTCTGACCATGTCCTCTCTGCTTCATCTGACCTTCTCCTCTCTGCTCCTCTGACCCTCTATCTGAATGAAAAAAGTACTTACAAAGTCTTTTTTACGATATTTGCAGAGTATCCAGTCGCTGCGGACGAAGACGCTAAAACCTTTTGTCATTTTCGTCAAAGTTCCAGAGTCTGACAAACTTAGAGAAACCAGGAGAGAGGCTCAGATTTTAACCAAACACGGCCAGAACCGGACGTTTACGGTAAAGACACCAAGAAAGACCAGAGCAGGACCAGGCCAAGACCAGTCCAAGACCAAAGAGCAAACCAAAGACCAGATTACGACCAAGATCAGACCAAGATCAGACCAAGATGAGACCATGACCAAAGACCAGACCAAGACCAAAGAAAGACCAGAACAGGACCAGACCAAGACCTCACCAAGACCAGACCAAGACCACAGACTAGAGCAGACCAAGACCAGACTAGATCAGACCAAGATCAGATCAAGACCAGACCATGACCAAAGACCAGACAAAGCCCAAGATCAGACCAAGACCAATGAAAGACCAGCAAAGGACCAGACCAGCAGACTATGACCTCACCAAGACCAGAACAAGTCCAAAGAGCAAACCAAAGACCAGACTAGACCAAGACTAGTCCAAGACCAAAGACCAGACCAAGGTCAGCCTAAGACCAGACCAAGACCAAAGTCCAGACCAGACCAAGACCAAAGAAAGACCAGCAAAGGACCAGACCAAGACCAAAGAGCAGACCAGTCCAGATCAAGACCAGTCCAAGACCAAAGAGCAGACCAAAGATCAGACCAAGACCAAACCAAGGTCAAACAAAAGTCCAGACCAAGACCAGACCAAGACCAGGCCACGACCAAGACCAAGGACCAGAGCAAAGACCTGATCAGAGACAAGACCAAGATAACAACTTCACAAACCTGATGTGATGCAAAGGGGGAGTGACTTAGCATGGAGAGCAAATGAACGGGAGACTCAGAACATCAAAAGCAAAACTGAAAGTTCTAAAAGATGTTAATATGTTGTTTTAACGTTGTTTTGTGATTTCAGGAGGAGGACTTTGTGGAGCTGGAGGACACGTCTAAACTCATTGAACTGAAGTACAGGCAGTTCTTCGACTGTGTTTTAGTGAACGGAGATCTGAACCAGTCCTGTCTCCAGCTCTGCTCCATGGTCCAACGCGCCCAGGACCAAGAGAACTGGGTCCCTGTGAGCTGGACCAGAGAAGACTAAGACTAAGACCATTGAAAGACTAGATAAAGACCAGACCAAGACCACACCAAGACCAAAGAGCAGACCAAAGACCAGACCAAAGAGCAGACCAAGATCAGACCAAGACCAGAGCATGATCAAAGACCAGACTAAGACCAGACAAAGGTCAGACCAAGACCAAAGAAAGACCAGAGCAGGACCAGACCAAGACCAGACCAAGCCCAAGACCAGCCCAAGACCAAAGAACAGATCAAAGAAAGACCAGAAAAGGACCAGACCAAGACCAAGCCCAAGATCAGCCCAAGACCAAAGAGCAGACCAAAGACCAGACCAAGACCAAAGAAAGACCAGAAAAGGACCAGACCAAGACCAGACCAGACGAAGACCAAAGAGCAGAAGAAAGAGCAGACCAAAGACCAGACCAAGACCAAAGAAAGACCAGAAAAGGACCAGACCAAGACCAGACCAGACCAAGACCAAAGAGCAGAAGAAAGAGCAGACCAAAGAGCAGACCAAAGACCAGGCCAAGACCAAAGACCGCACCAAGATCAGACTGAGACCAAAGAAAGACCAGAAAAGGACCAGACAAAGACTAGACCGAGACCAGTCCAAGACCAAAGAGCAGACCAACGACCAGATCAAAGACCAGACCAAAATCAGACCAAGATCAGACCAAGACCAAAGAAAGACCAGACCGAGACTAGACTGAGACCAGACAAAGACCAGACCAAGACTAGTCCAATACCAAAGAGCAGACCGAGATCAAATCAAGACCAGACCAAGACCACGACGAAGGACCAGACCAAAGACCTCATCAAAGACCAGAACAAGACCAAAGACCAGACCAAGTTAGATATTCTGAATTCTGATCATTTATCTGCACAATGAAAAAGAGTCTAACTGAACAAATACAAGATAGATCAATTTAATGCCATACTGTGGAACATTCCAGACAACGCTGTAACATGTTCATGGAGACAAACCGGTGACGGACTTAGAGGACAAAGAGAGAGACCTTATTATTATGTATTTATTTATTTAGTTCTTACTCATGTTGTTTCCTCATAAAAACAAACTTGCTTCATTCACTCACTCCACTCCAGAACTCCAACGTTTTTTTAGATTTGTAGCAGTATATTTAAGTACCACTGTAGTTTTATTAATGGTATATTCTTGTATGTATAGAATTAATTCAATAAAAATATTCTGTTAAGTAAAAGAATGTCCCTAAATGTGTTGTAAATAAATGAGAGACAGTTTGACCTGATTTAAGCTTAAGTCAAAGTGTCCATCTGTCTGCGCTGAACTTTCACTTTCTTTCTTCAGGTTAATCTTGTGAAGCAGGTCACGAGTTTAAGTACAAGGCAGAGGAGAGGATCAGAGGAGCAGAGGAGAGGCTCAGATGGAGAAGACGAGACGGTCAGAGGAGCAGAGGATGCAGAGAAAAGGGTCAGATGAAGCAGTGGAGAGCGGTCAGAGGAGCAGATGGTGCAAAGTAGAGGGTCAGAGGAGCAGAGGAGAGAGTCAGAGGAGAAGGTCAGATGGAGCAGATGATGCAGAGGAGAGAGCCAGAGGAGCAGAGGAGAGGGTCAGAGGAGCAGATGATGCCGAGGAGAGAGCCAGAGGAACGGATGAGAAGGTCAGAGGAGCAGAGGAGAAGGTCAGAGGAGAAGATGATGCAGAAGAGAGAGCCAGAGGAACAGATGAGAAGGTCAGAAGAGCAGAGGAGAAGGTCAGAGGAGAAGATGATGCTGAGGAGAGAGCCAGAGGAACAGATGAGAAGGTCAGAGGAGCAGAGGAGAAGATCAGAGGAGAAGATGATGCAGAGGAGAGGGTCAGACGGAGCAGAGGTGAGGGCCAGAGGAGTAGAGGAGATGGTCAGAGGAGCAAAGGAGAGGTTTAGAGGAGAAGAGAAGAGGGTCAGTGGAGCAGATGATGCAAAGGAGACTGTCAGAGGAACAGAGGAGAAGGCCAGAAGAGCAGAGGAGAGAGCCAGAGGAGCAGAGGAGAAGGTCAGAGGAGCAAAGGACAGGGTCAGAGGAGAAGGTCAGATGGAGCAGATGATGCAGAGGAGAGGGTCAGAGGAGCAGAGGAGAAGGGCAGAGGAGAGGTCCAGGGGAGCAGAGGAGAAGGGCAGAGGAGAGGGTCAGAGGAGAAGGTCAGATGGAGCAGATGATGCAGAGGAGAGGTTCAGAGGAGCAGAGGAGAGGAGAAAGTCAGAGGAGTAGAGGAGAGAGGCAGAGGAGGTCAGATGAAGCAGGTGATGCAGAGGAGAGAGTCAGAGGAGCAGATGGTGCAGAGTAAAGGGTCAGATGGAGAAGAGGAGAGGATCAGAGGAGCAGATGAAGTAGAGGAGTGGGTCATATCTCATTGTCTCACTGTCGACACGTCCACCATATGGACAGTATATATGGCCAGACGCGTCGTACCACGTGACCTCGGCAGCCAATCAGATTAGTCGATTCCCGGCTCAGACCACCTGCTGCTGTAAGCCCTAAGCCTCCTGTGGCTAAGTTGTACATGTTAGCACGCTCGCTATATTGGAATAAATCTACAAACACTTTTTATCCACTATTGTAGTATTTTTGACGTGATTGGGAATAATACCAAACAGATATTTTCTTATTTCATTTTTGAGGTGGAATTGTTCTAAGTTCTTGCACCACAGAGTAAACAGGAGCTCTCAGGTAAGCAGCATGTTTACTTCTTATGGACTCATTAAAATGTAACTATAGGTCTGTATGCTGTACTATGATCACGTTTTAATTACATTTATCTTCAATAGTTGTGGTTAGGCCTTGTTTAGACCTAATTAAGTCCAGTTTTTTTCATTTGGATTTGTTTGTTTGGTGACACTTTAGTTTAGGGACCACATATTCATTTCTAACTAAGTAGGTAATTCATATGCGTATAAGCTGTTACTAAGTTATAAGTTGGTATTTATCAAACACGTATTAATGCTTATTAAGATTTCAGTATGTACAAAAACATCTATTGTAATCCTTTCTACTATAATGGGGGAAAAAAAACTGTTCATGGCTTAATACTTGCAAAATACAGCCTTGAAATGCATTGAAAGTACTTTATAAATACTAACAAATATGTAATATCTAGCTATTAGTAGGGGTGTAACGATATCCAAGTCTCACGATATGATATCGTCATGGTACGAACCTCCCGGTACGATATTTATTACGATATCGTAGGAAAGTGCTCGATATGGTGGAGAGGCTCATGATTAGGGATGTAACAATATCCAAATCTCTCGGTACGATATTTTGATGAAATACATCTCACGGTTCGATATTTATTCCGATATATTGTTTTCCTGTTAAAATGCCTTGACAAGACTTAATCCAAAGAATTAAGACTTAAAAGTGCTTAGAAGTGTTATTTCTTCATGTAGTTTACACTGAAATGGAGCAAAGTATCATGGTCTATGTCACGCATGTCCAAACTATGGCCTGTGGGGCAAATGCGGCCCTCAGACAAATTTTTTTGGCCCTCAGGCTTCCAAGTGAAGGTGGCCCAAATGATCTTGCATCAATTAAAAATGATTATTTTACTGTAAGTTTTTTGAAAATCTACCTTGATAAAGCCGATATTATGGAGTAAGAAAGCTGTCAAAAATATTCGTGCGCATAAAATAGAAATCTGTGCGTTTTTGGTAATTCCGTGCATATTTGGCTGTAGTTGCGCATAAAATAAATATTTGTAAACTCTCAAATGAGTCCAGTTGTACATAAAATATATTGTGTGTATTTTATCCATCAGAATACGAATTGAAAAATTACGACGTCATGAATTTCAATCAAGAAATGAAAATTTACGATTACGCTTTCATCAGTACGAATACGAATTCACAGACGGAACTTTACTGTCAAAAATACGTCATCACTTCACAGACATTATTCATCGAGCAGAAGAAACATCGATCAAGATCAAGACTGTGCAGCTCAAGTTTGTAGCAGAGTAAAAACAGAGTAATAGCACAAGAAGCTACAACAGCGACCAACAAGTGGGTTAATTAAAATCTATTGTAAAAATGTCTTGAATTCGGGAACCGAACGCTGCTGTATAATATTGTGTAGAAACACCTCCTTTGAACGGGAAATTGCACCTATATGTTAGATAACATAGTGGAGTCAGTTGGCTAACATCTGACGTAATGTCATCCCAGGGCTAATTAGCAAATATCAGGTTCTCTGTAGGTTTAGATTAAAACATTCACGACTACAGCTACAGCGAGCATCAGTCAGTCTTCACTTCAGCTGCATTTCTCGCATGAAATGCCACCAAAAGTTCCTCTGGACGCTGAAATGTCCCAGTTTACACCAAACACTACCAAACTGTCCTGGTTACAGACGTCACAGCTAATGAAATGTTACACATTACAGTTTAATGCAGCTTTCAGCATCAGTTAATGTTCATGTTTACAGGCAACACCTTGGTATATATACAGTATTTACCGGTAAGTATAACGTCACTGTGACGTGGATGGATTTGCTCATTATAACCCATTATAACTCATGAAAAACCCATTGTCTGAAATGCAGCTGAGATGAAGGTTAAGACTGACTGATGTTCGCTGTGGCTGTAGTCGTGAATGTTTTAATCTAAACCTACAGAGAACCTGATATTTGCTAATTAGCCCTGGGATAACGTTAGGTCGGATGTTAGCCAACTGGCTACCGCTATGTTATCTAACATATAGGTGCAATTTCCCGTTCAAAGGAGGTGTTTCTACACAATATTATACAGCAGCGTTCGGTTCCTGTATTCAATGTGGCAAGACAAGACATTTTTACAATAGATTTTAATTAACCCACTTGTTGGTCGCTGTTGTAGCTTCTTGTGCTATTACTCTGTTTTTACTCTGCTACAAACTTGAGCTGCGCAGTCTTGATCTTGATCGATGTTTCTTCTGCTCGATGAATAATGTCTGTGAAGTGATGACGTATTTTTGACAGTAAAGTTCCGTCTGTGAATTCGTATTTGTACTGATGAAAGTGTAATCGTAAATTTTCATTACATGATTGTAATTCTTGACGTCGTGACTTTTCAATTCGTATTCTGATGGATAAAATACACACAATATATTTTATGTACGACTGGACTCATTTCAGAGTTTACAAATATTTATTTTATGCTCAACTACAGCCAAATATGCACGGATTTACCAAATATGCACGGATTTCTATTCTATGCAAGCAAATATTTTTGACAGCTTTCTTACTCCATACGATATTTAATATTTAGTGTGTGGTTTTAAGGATCTTAGCATGAATAAAGACTGATAGCTTATTCTAATGTGTTAAACATGCACACATTTCAATTATTCCCTGCATTGAGCACCAGTCTACGTCCCTCAATCAGCCCTGTGCTTCATCTGTGTTTAGATATGTGGCCCTTGATGAAAAAAGTTTGAACTGCACTCTAACTCTATGACTTAATATGTGGTCCCTAAACTAAAGTGTTACTGGATGTTTTTATTCTACTCAAAAACATATAAAAACGTGTTCTTACTGTGAGCGGGCTTGCATCTCCACAAACCCGACTCTTATTTGGCCTCCTCCTGCTTGTTTGAAATGGCTTTAACATTCCACACACACAGTATGGCATAAAACATATCTATCTCCATGGAAAATGACCCAAAGTAGGGGAGTGCAATAATATTGAAATATCGATATCGTTTAATGTGATGATACAGTATGGATATTATGGGCTGTTGTATCAATATATCTCCAAGAGTATTTTTTGGCATATTTTACTAAATTATTTTGTTACAGCTACAATTTTGTTGCTTGTTCAGAGGAAGGAAACTCTTTTATGCGACACATTTGACATTTTCACTGTTTTGATGATTAAAATGTTTGTGTTTCATATGAACTTTGCACAAGAATTGGTTTAACAAAGACTTTTAGAATAACAGCCATGATTTAGCCTTTATTTTTTATTGAACTGTATCGAATCGATTTTAAATATATCATCAAAGCAAAAGCACACTGTATTGAGATATGTATCGTATCGGTAACTTCTTAATGATCCCCAGCCCTAATGCAAAGTATGTTTTTAGGGTTTAACTTTCTATTTCCAAAAACTGTCACTTTAAGCCATGCTCTAGTGTTTAGTCCTGGTCTAATCTAGTCCTGGCCTGATTCATCAGCCGGTGTCACTTCGTGGAAACCGTCTGACCTCATTAGGACCCACATTAGGATTTGTTCGCTTGGCTGTAGGCGGGTATGTTTTTTTTATTTAACCAATCGCTGCTATTTGGTTGTGTTGTATGTAATGCGCCGCTAACTGGGCTAACTTGTATATTAAGCTTTTCCAAATCCTGTAGCAAGAAGGACAATAACATCTTTCCCGTTGATAAAATTCACCAAACATTCTCTTTATTCCGGCTTTAAATCCTCGATCACGGGAATTGTTGCCAACACAGAATGTCTGTCTTCGTCTACATCCATCTCGATGCTTTGTTTACTGTTGTACTGTATCACAAAAGGGACCAGACAGACGCGAAGAGTTTGACGTCATGGCTTCACAGCTCTTCGCTGATTGGTTGGTGCACGGTCTACAACCTCCAGGTTCTTGCAAACTGCCTAGTGTATTCTGATTCCTGATCTAGTCACTGGAGTGAAATGAAACTGAGCGGTGAACTGACCTGTGTCCATACCAGTTTGGGGTGAAATGCTCAAACTCTGAAAAATATGAAGAAGAAATAGTGTGTATGTCTTTTAGATAAATAAGAATCCAAATTTTCCTATTTTCCAGACCCAAAGATGAAGTTTATTCACTGTGTTTACTTCTCCACATTTAACATTCAGTTGGTGGACCCTCCTTCAGAAAAGTTACACAATGCACCTTTACATTAGAGTAGGGCAGGCGAGCATGTTTTAGCTGAGTCCTCTTTAGCTTCTCTGCCATGTGTCTGCACAGATCAGCCTAAACCAATTATACAGACTTCAGTAGGCTACACTTCCTGATGGCCCCAGGAGAGACTCAAGACAAGAAAAAAGTGGAAAATAAAACAAAATATTTTCTTTTTTAACATTTTTTTTTTCTGCAGGGAACATCATGCCGACTGTAAAAGGCAAGAAGAAGAAACCAAAGAAGGAAGCGAGTCAAGAGGATCCTCCAGCAGAAGGTTAGTCCTGATTTAGACCTGGTTTAGTCTTGGTTTTGGCCTGGTTTATTCCTGGTGTAGCGCTTTTCAAGACACTCAAAGCACTTTACAATAACACACACGCACACACACACATACACAAGTGTGGTTAGGTGGGATGGCATGGACATAGAAGGCTCTGTCTCCCATGGTCTGCAACCTGGAGTGGGGAATGGAGAACTGAGAGGAAGAGCGGAGTGTCCTGGAGGGTGTGTAGGTTTGGAGCAGGTCTGAGAGGTTCAGAGGGGCCTGGGCGTGGAGGGACTTGTAGGTGAGAAGAAGAATCTTGTCATGGATCCTTGGTGTGAGAGAAAACCCTGGCAACAGAGTTTTGGATGTATTGAAGCTTGTCCAGAAGCTTTAGGAAAATACCGGACAGGATTCAATAGTCCAGGCGGGAGGTCATGAATGAGTGGATAAGTGTTTGAGCGACCGAGTCCGTGGGAGATCGACGGGGACGGGAGATGTTGTGGAGGTGATAAAAGGCAGATTTTGTGATTGATTTGATCTGGGGGCCAAAGGAGAGCGTTGAGTCCAGGATGATGCCCAGGTTGCGGACCGTCGGTGAAGGGTGGGTGTCGTTGCCATCGATACTGAGCATCAGATCTCCAACCTTCTGGAGCAGGAGTCTGGTGGCCACAACCATGAGCTCTGTTTTGTTGCTGTTGAATTTGTGGAAGTTGGATGATAACCAGGTTCAAAGATCAGTAAGGCAGTTGGAGAGAAACTGAGGGGGTTGAAGGTTTGGTGGCTCTTAGTAGGTCATTTGTATTTTGATAAGAGCCGTTTAGACATGGTTTAGTCTGGGTTTGGTCCTAGTATAGACCTGGTTTAGTCCTGGGTTAGAACTTGTTTAGACCTGGTTACGTCTTGTTTTTAGACCTGGTTTAGATCTGGTGTATTCCCAAGATCTCAGTCACTTCTTGGTTTAGCCCTGAAAAACTAGTTTGGGCCTCTTTTACCCAGTTATAGCCATATTTAGTCCTGGTTTAGATCTGAATTAGAACTCTTTTAGCTGAACCTGGACCTGGTTTATTTTAAATGTTTATTGTGTGTTTCTCATAAGTTGCCGTGGAGATGGAGGAAGCTAAGAACAGGAAGAACTCCCAAAGCACAGAGCGTTTGACCCCTGACCCCTGCGACCCCGCGCCGCACAAGAAGAAGAAGAAAAAGAAAACACCCACCATCGGTAAAAAGACGAGCTAACACACTAAAAATATGTTAATAAACAACGTAATGTCTAGTTGGAGGTGGTATTTCATATTTGAACTTGTAATATTCTGTACAAACGTGTTGCAGTTTGTCTTCATTGTCTCCATTAGAACACTTGTCGCCCTCTGCTGGCAAAAGTAGGGAATGGAACATGCTTAAATGACAAGTTAGCAGCATGTTAAAATGTTTGAATGAAACAAAAAACAATGGATGTTTTGAAGATGTAAAATATATTACAGCACAAATGAAGAAAGCTGTTTCCCTCTCCCCAGACGCTTCCTTACAACTAAAAGAATTATCATAGAAGCATTGTCACGGAAAATATATATATAATAATCAGTGTTGGGAAGGTTATTTTTAAAATGTATTCCTCTACAGATTACAGATTACATACCTCAAAATGTAGTTTGTAACATAATCCATTAAGTTACTTCAAGTGAGTAACGTAATCTGAATACTTTGGATTACTTGATTTGCTGTAGAGAAGCAAAGTCTAGGATATCGTAACACAAGATATTTTGTCTGCAAAAAGAAAATAAAAAGCCTAGACTTTACTTAACCGTATTAAAAATATTATTGATAAAGGAGGAGGAGACACGTCCGCACAGCATGGTTTAGTCCTGTTAAATCCTGTTTTAGACCTGTTTTTAGTCCTGGTTTTAATCCTGGTTTAGTCTTGGTTTAGTCCTGGTTTAGACCTGGTTTAGTCCTGGTTTAGTCCTGGTTTAGTCCTTTTTTAGTCCTGGTTTAGACCTGGTTTAGACCTGGTTTGGACCTGGTTTTAGTGTCTGGCAATGTCCTACTTTATCCTACTTATGTCATGTTTTTAAGCATCTATACTTGTTGAAAGATTCTATAGTTATCAGTTAGAATTTTTTATGATCTTATTATTATTAAAGTGTGTAAATGTGTTTCAGATCTGGAGACGGAGCCTGACATTCCGAACGGGGAGCTGAATGATCACACTGAGGAGGAGCCGTCTGTCCCTGTGACCAAGAAGACCAAACGCAAGAGGTGCTCCGGCTGTCTCTGTTAAACTCATCATGACACATACAGAATCAGAGGAGTTTTACTGCCACACAATTCACTAAACTTCGGTGATATGATGCAATATAAAACAATGAATAATAACAGTCAAATAATAGTGAAATGTAAAGAATTCCCCACCCAAATACAACAGAGATTCATCCACACTCACCATTTCTTTAAAATTAACTTTTTTCTTCTGTTAGTGTCTTTGGGTATCTTAAAAAAATAAAATAAAAAAAAAACATTATTCGAGTGTTATTATTATTATTTATTCTAAACTTTGTTAAAAATGCCTGAATAAAATAAGATGTTAGAATTTAGAACTAGATTTTTTTTTTTTTTCTTTCTTTTATATATCAATATTTTTTTGTATTTTTATTTTATTTATCTGTTAATTTGGTTATATCTTTTTATAATGTTAAGCTGTTTGTTTTAGCACAAAGGTGGGGGGAAAATAGGGATACAAGTTAACACAAATATTGTGTCTAATGTCAACCAAGAATATATTTTTGTGAAACTTTGATACAATAAGGTTTCAAAAAAGAGAAGAAAATAATAGGCTCTCTAGTCTAAATAACTTGAGAACAACACATGAGCCTACAGCTAAAAAACCTGTGTCTGTATAGGACTTATTGGCCGTGAAGATTGCAGCCGACCACACCAGAACTAACACTTAAACAAATTGTACTCCTTTTATACATGTCTGTAAAGTTCTCTGTTCCTGGTTGTTTACAGGAAGGCCCGTACCACAGACAGCTGCAGTACCGACCTTCTAACAGAAGAGGATGACATAGTGGAGTCGCGTTCTCCCCCTCTGCCTTTGCCCTCTGTCCTCTCGGCTGCTCAGGCTCACAGCCAGGGCTCCGGCCGGGTCTTTGTGGAGAGGCATCGTGAGTATTTTTGTTTGCAGACTAGTTTACCTGGTTTATTGATAATATCTCATTTTGTTTATTTATTAAGGAAATGTACAGTTACAATAAGCATAAGCAGAAATGATGGAGTGTGAGATTGACAGGTGGACTGGAGCAGTGTCAGCAGTGATGCAATCGCTGTATTGGACTGTTGTCATGAAGCGAGAGTTGAGCCGAAAGGCAAAGCTCTTGATTTACAGGTCAATCTACTTACCTATGGTCATGAGATTTGGGATGACTGAAAGAACAAGATCATGGATACAAGCAGCCAAAACGAGTTTCCTCCGCAGGGTGGCTGGGCGCTCCCTTAGAGATTGGGTGAGGAGCTCAGTCACACAGGAGGAGCTTGGAGTAGAGCCGCTGCTCCTCCACATTGAGAGGAGCAGCTGATGTGGCTTGGGCATATGTTTGGATGCCTACTGGGTGCCTCCCTCAGGAGGTATTCTGGGTATTTCCCACCGGGGGGAGGCCCAGGAGAAGACCAAGGACACATTGGAGGGACTATGTCTCTCGGCTGGCCTGGGAGCACCTTGGGATCCCCACAGAAGAGCTGGATGTGTGTGTGTGTGGTGTGTGTGTGCGGAGAGGGAAGTCTGTCTGGGCCTTGCTGCTCAGACTGCTGCCCCCGCAACCCGGCACCAGATGCACCGGAAGAAAATGGATGAAGCAGAAACACTTGTACCAGACTGTTCACCTGATTCATCAGCAGGTGTCACATCATGGAAACAGTCTGACCTCGCAGCATTAACATTCATTCGCTTGACGGCGGCTACTTTTTTTTATTTAACCAATCGCTGCTATTTGGTCGTGACATATGTAATGCACCAAATCCCATACGAAGAAGGGCAATAATGTCTTTCCCCTTGATAAAATCACCAAACATTCTCTGGCTTTAAATCCTCCATCTCAGGAGTCGTTGCCAACACAAAATGTCTGTCTTCACCTACATCCATCTCGATCACTTTGTTTACTGTTGTGCTGTACCACAAAAGGGACCCAGACAGGCGAGTTTGACGTCATGGCTTCACAGCTCACACCTGATTGGCCGGTGCGCAGTCTACAACTTCTGGGGTCCCTGCAAACTGTCTAGTGTATTCTGATTCCTGACCTAGTCGATGGAAAGAAATGAAATTGAGCAGAGGCACTAGGTGGCGCCAGCCTGACTACCAAACTGTGGCTTTAAAGATAAACTGCATGTGTAGTCATCGAGGGAGGTGTTATAGTACAATAATACATTCAGTGCAAATAGTACATTACTCATTCAGCATCATATTGCAGTTTTATAAATACAATCACACTTCTACAGCATAATTTAACAGAGCAGACTTATATAACAGTCATATTTTATTCAAAGTCATACAGTTCAAGCATACAGTTAGATTCACAGTTTTATGTGTGTGTGTGTGTGTGTTGTCAGGTCGTTTCCAGCCGGAGCAGAGGCACTCAGACCTGATGGAGGAGTACATGGACCCTCGAGCCAACTGGAGCACCAGGGATGTGGCTTTGAGGATCCACGGTGGATTTAGGTACAAAAACAATCACAAAACTGTTCAGCTCATGTTATAATGGTTTTAGCTCATCAATTGCTTAAGTAAAGTTGTCCTGTTGTGTTTGACCTACCCACTATCCCCGCCCACTTCTCTGTGCATACATAAATGGGTTCAAATGACGAATATCTCATGCCCTCTCTCCTTCTTTTGTCCCCTCTCCAGTTTAATTCTGGTTTAGTCCCGGCCTCAGCAAATGATAGTCTCTGTTTTTGTTTCTATTGTGAGTTTCATGCATCTGTAGCTCTACACAAATAAACTTGCTTTGCTTCTCTCTCCGTCTCTCTGTCCTGTCTGCATCTCTTTTATCCCTCTTCCCTTCTCCTCAGAGTATTGGGTCTGTTCTCTCACGGGTTCCTGGCTGGTTTCTCGGTGTGGAACATCATCGTGGTGTATGTTCTGGCTGGGGAGCAGATGACCACTCTGTCTAACCTCTTGCAGCAGTACCACACTCTGGCCTATCCCGCCCAGTCTCTGCTCTACCTGCTGCTGGCCGTCAGCACCGTCTCCGCCTTCGACAGGTACAAATGTGTTGTAAATATAAATGATCGTGTATATTATATAGTATAGTATAATAATTACAGTATAATTTAACTCTACTCTGAGCTCCTCCCATGTGACTGAGCTCCTCAACCTTTTACTAAGAAGTGTCCAGTCACTCTGCAGAGGAAACTCATTGAAACCACTTGTATGTGCAATCTGGTCCCTCCAGTCATTACCCAAAACTCATGACCATACTGCCCTACAAAAATGAGTTCATGTCATTTTGGGGGTATTTGAGGCCTCCTTTATCATGTGAATAAATATCGTGAAAAATATTGATCTCAAAATTGACCCTTTGACTCCTTATTTGTCAGTTCCTGTGCTCTGCTTTTGTGTCATGAACCAAAAATAAGGAGTCGTGCAAAGACAAAAGGCAGTAACAGTGTATGTTTTTGATTTAGTTCATAATTACATTTCATTTTAAAATCCAACCTCTCACCTTCTTCTTTTTGTTGCGGCCTTAGCACAGGGTCTTAACGCATTCAATAAATATACCTTTGTATTCAATTATACTTAAATAATCTTTAATGTGAAAGTATTTTGTGTATTTATTCATACTCTACATTATTGTTGTAGTGCTCGAGAGCGCTTTTTTACTTGATCTCATCTTGGACTCAAGAACATTTGGCCTTGGTCTTGTCTTGGAATCAAGGTCTGACACTTGTCAAGTGTGATCATATTTCATTACAGCCGGTAAATGTGGAGAGGCTGCTCAATATCACCAGTGAGATAATGTAACTGTACATGTTATGAACTTGAAAAAAAAAAAAAAAACTCACTTTCTTCACTTTGAAGTTGTTTTCTGTGAATTGCCAGTGGAAGTGGGATTAAAGAAGAGGTTCTCAAACTGTGGGTGAGGGTCCAAAAAAGGGGCGCAGTGTGTTTCAGTGCAGTACAGTTTGCTTGGCTTATTTTAAGCCTAAATGCATATTAATCAGATCAAATGTAGATAGATTTATTTAAAAAAAAACAAAAAAAAACTGATATATACAGTATGTCCCAAAATAACTAAAATCAGAAATGGCAAAGATGGTCTAGATTTAGTCTCACTGGGCCGTGGTCCTGGTCTTGTCTCAGCCTCAGCCTTTAAAAATCTTGGTCTTGTCTCGGTCTCGACCCTCAGAGGTCTTGGTCTTGTCTTGGTCTCAGGACCATGTGGTCTTGGACTGGTCTTGGTCTCGAATAGTACGCTCTTGAATACAACACTGCTGTACATATTCTACTGCATATACTACTTACTTCTACAGTCGTTTGACTGTCAGACTGTTTAACTGTGCTTAAAGTGTCACCGCACGATCCTGATCAGCATTAAACAGGAAATCCAAAGCTCTTCGATATGATTTCACAACAAACTCCATGATGACTCGACCTTGGTGAGGTGTTTTTCTTATAATGGATGGAAGTCTGGGGAAAATCAAGTAAATAATAATAATGTCAGTTTCTGCCTTTTGCCTTTGCACAGCTCAAAGGCAGAGAAAAAGAACTGACAAATAAGGGTCAAATGTCAATTTTCAGCTCAGTATTTTTTACATACAAATATTTCTTCATTATAGCAACTACTGCAGTTATAGTTTTGTTTTTGTTTTCATTTTCAGGGTGAATTTGGCCAAAGCGTCGATGGCTCTGAGGGGCTTTCTGACCCTTGACCCTGCAGCCCTGGCCTCTTTCTGTGAGTCACAAAAAGCCAAGTATTTTCTGAACGACAAAGCTCTACATACACTTTATTGTTCTCTAGTTGCACCATATTTTACTGTGTTGACATCTTGGGTAATATTTGTAAATCAATATTGGAGCCATACTACAAAAAAGAACTACAAATAATTCATAACAAGCAAGTGGTCGGTCGCTCCACCAGAAAAGTTCCGCAGTGCATCTTTTTCATACCATTAACAGTTGACTCTCTTTTGTTTTTTCCCAGTGTACTTTGTGGCTCTGATTTTGTCCCTGTCTCAACAAATGACCAGCGACCGCATCAACCTGTATCCTACGGCCAACGCGACTCTGTGGTACGAAGAAGACCATATGAATATCACACAAAACAGACTCTGTGAGCTTTAAGCCCAAACTCCAACTGCTCTCTTCCCACCTTGTGATGTCATGGGGTGGTAGATTTCAAGTTAAGAGCTCCTTTTAACTTTAATTCAGTAGAGATTGGCGATTCCGATTCCGCTTTCTGTATGAAGTGAAATCACGAGGTGGAACAGATCGTTTTGAGCTTTGGAGATGTGTAGTTTTCTGAGTGAGAGAGGAGAAGAGAAGAGTGGAAAAAAGAGAGAGAGAGAAGGAGAGAGTAGAGAAAGAAGAAGAGAAAGAAGAGAGAGGGAAAGAAGGAGGAAGAGAGGATAGAGAGAAAGAGAGAGAAAGGAGAGGGAGGATGAGAGGGGAGAGAAGAGAGTGGAGAGAGATAAGAAAAGAAGAAAGAGAGAGGAAGAGAGGAGAGCGACTAAGAGAAAGAGGATAGAGGGAGGAAGAGAGGAGAGTGGAGAGGAATAAAGAGAGGAGAGAGAAGTGAGAGAGGGGATGAGAGGGAGAGAAGAGAGTGGAGAGAGACAAGAAGAGAGGAAGAGAGGGAGAAAGAGACAGGAGAGAGAGGATGAGAGAGGAGAGAAGAAAGTGGAGAGAGACAAGAAGAGAGGGAGAAAGAGAGGAGAGAGAAGGGAGAGAGAGGGGGAGGAAGAAAGGAGAGAGCGTGGGAGAAAGGAAAGAGAGGGGAAGAGAGAGAGGAGAGAGAAGAAGAGGAAAAGGAGAGAGGGTGGAAGAGAGGAGACAGAGTAGGGCAGAGAGAGGATGAGAGGAGAGAGAGAGATTAGAGAGAGAGAGACAGAGAGAGAGAAGAGAGAGAGAGTGGGGAGAGAGAAGAAAGGAGACAAAGAAGAAGAGAAAGATTAGAGAGGGAGGGAGGAAGAGAGAAAAGAGAGAGCAGGAGAGAAAAGGGAGAGAGAGGATGAGAGGGGAGAGAGACAAGAAGATAGGAGAGTGAGAGGGGGAGGAAGAGAGGAGAGAAGAGAGAAGAGAGTGGAGAGAGAGGAAGAGAGAGGAGAAAGAGGAAAAGAGGAGAGAGAGTGGGAGAAAGAAGGAGAGAGAGAGGGAAAAAGGAAAGAGAGCAGGACAGAGGAGGGAGGGAGAGAGAAGAAAAGAGGAGAATGAGAGGAAAGAGTGGAGAGAGAGAAGAGAGGAGACGCATAAGGAGAGAGGAAGAGAGGAGAGAGAGGAAAAGAGGGAGAAAAAGAGGGAGAGAGGAAGAGAGGAGAGAGAAATGGAGAGAGGGAACAGAGCATTTTGAGCTTTGGAAACGAGTGGTCTTGTGTTTGAGAAAAGAACTACATTTACAGAATTGTGTGTTAAACGTGTGAATGAAACAAAACACAAGTGCAGGTCCGTTTGTGATGAGGAGACAACATTAAAACACAGATCACAAAAGAACGTAATATTTGTTGATGTTCTTCAGGCCTACTGGTTCCGAGCAGCAGATCCTGAGGCCGTGGATCGTGGTGAACCTGGTGGTGGCGCTGTTGGTGGGACTGGCCTGGGCTGTGGTCTCCACCCGACCGGACATCGACTACACAGAAGGTACAAATATTACATTCAGTATCACAGAAAGTCAAGTAAAGACATGAAATCACTAGAGCAGTGGTTGTCAAACTACTAGTGTCCACGCATCAAGAATCTCGGACTTGCGGTCATTGCGTGATGCATACTGGGAAGGATTTTCTGAAAAAGTGAGCATCAAACCTCCATGTTTGTTTTCCCAGTGGGATGTGTCTATTGACAAAGTCGATCTTTTCAAGTCTTTTGAACCATATCACTTTTGTTTCTGGTTCTGATATTGTCATATTTTAGTTTTGGGATTCGGACATCGTAATTGTGTGGTTGTTGGATCCTAACAGCGGAAAACGGGAAAAGAGAAACAGTTTAAACAGAGGTTTGATCTGATTCCCTTTTGCATTTATGGAGTTCGCAAAGCCGTTTTCCGCTGTTACAATTCAACAACCACACAATTACGATGTCTGAATCTCAAAACTAAAATATGACAATATCAGAACCAGAAACAAAAGTGATATGGTTCAAAAGACTTGAAAAGATCGACTTTGACAATAGACACATTCAAGTGGGAAAACAAACATGGCAGTTTGATGCTCACTTTTTCGGAGAATCCTTCCCAGTATGAATTGACCGGAAGTCCGAGATTCTTGATGCGTGTATTAATACTACTACTACTACTAATAATAATAATAATAATAGTGCATTTTATCTAAACACACCTTTCTACCAATGCTTTTACTGAAATAATATGTAAGTAATATGAAAATAATATTCAAGTAAAAATGTAATAAAAACAAAACAAATTATGAACAAAATCTGTAATTATTTAAAGGTATTTAAAGGAGAAGGTCCTCAACCTGTTTGTCTCCATGGAAATGTTAATGGCTTTGCACCAACAGGACCTTTCATTTATTTTTTAACTGCACTATCTGAGTTTAGCAGATTAACGGCTAATGGCACAAAAGAATATTTGAATGTGTTCAAGACAGAATAAGATAGAATCATGTATATGGATCACAGCTAATAATAGAACTGAGATCAAATAACAATGTTTATTATAACACCTCTCTTTGTTTTTCAGATTTTTTGGTGACGATGGAAGTGGAGGGGTATCCACGAGGAGTAGAGGAGAGCCAGGACATCCCGGCTTAAACATAACACCAACCAGTCCTCATTCCCCCTGTTCAAGATCTGTTTTCTCAATGTAATTTTGTAAATAAAATACACTGTGTATTGGAACAAGCTGTGGTCTGTTTTTGACGCAATTACAGCTTATGGCCACACGATGGGGCTGTTGCACAATTGACAGAGCTCTTCCCTCTTCATTCCCCTTTGAACACTATATGAGAAAAAATAATGCTTAAAAATAATTGCTAAAAATTGCCCTTAAGTCAAAATGTTTAATAAAACTATATTATATATTACTATAATATAATATATAAAAGTACATATATATGTATATATATATGTTTATGTGTGTGTGTGTGTGTGTGTGTGTGTGTATATATATATATATATATATATATATATATATATATATATATATATATATATATATATATATATATATGATGTAGGAGTAGGGGATGGAGATACGCCACATGTTCTACTGTATGGTATTTGACTGTTTGTTAATTTACATGCGTTCTCAGTGCTCAAAATACCTTGAAAACATGCGCTGTTACTAAGAATGTGGTCGCTTCTTCACAGATCTAACTTTTAACTTGACCTTTAACATATAAGTTTAATGCCATACTGTGAAACATTTCAGGGAAAACAATAACGTTGATCTGGAGACAAGCAAACAAGCTCTTCACCAGAAAATCTTTGTAGCACACCTTAAGGGCTTTATTTATTTATTTATTTATTTATTTATTAACTTTTTTCTTTTTTTTTTTTACACTTGGAATTAAAAAACAAACAAACAGACTAATCAGACTAATTATGAGGCAGCAGATCAGGACACATGACGCAACGGATCAGGGCTCGTAGTAAAACCGTGTGATGACGCAGCGCGGCGCATCCGGACTGACGACGGAGCGCGCCGGGACTCGTCGTAGTAAAACCAAAGCGCAAAGCAGTGCGCTGTGGGAACGCACACGAGCGCGCTCTCTCTCTCTCTCTGTCTCTCTCTGTCTCTCTCTGTCTCTCTGTGTCTCTCAGTGTCTCTGTGTCTGTAGAAGCATGTAAAGATGGCGGAGTTACAAATGCTGCTGGAGGAGGAGATCCCGGCGGGGCGCAGGGCTTTACTGGACAGTTTCACGAACCTGGAACGCGTGGCGGACTACTGCGAGACCAACTATGTCCAGGTGAGAGCGGGGAGGTCCGGGGCAGAGCAGCCGCGGAACAGGCGCGATGTGCGGGCAGAGAGAGGAGAGAGGTGGGCGGTGTGGCGGAGCGCGGGAGACCGTGTATTTGTACGTTCCGTTATGTGCAGCAGGCGCGTAAAAGGCTAAGTTCTTTTTACACAATTGCAGAAAACCAATTAGCAAAACTTTTATCAGTTATTAATGCTTACAAGTCATTTCAGTTGTCTTAATTGTCCATGTAGTAGCTTAAAGGTGCACTGTGTAACTTTCCAGGTGGAGAATCCATGGAATGTTTTTTCTCCATCCATACTGTAAAACTGCTTTGTCTGCAATGTTTCACAGTATGGCATTAGGCAAAGCAAGTTTATCTGTACAGCACAATTCGTACACAAAGTAATTCAAAGTGCTTTACAGAATAAGAAAAACATTAAAATCACAAAAAAACATAAATAATCATCATAGAATTAAATATTAAAATTTAAAAAGAGAGAGAGACGAATTTTGGACTTCTGGTCATTGCGTGATGCATACTGGGAAGGATTTTCCGAAAAAGTGAGCATCAAACCGCCATGTTTGTTTTCCCAGTGGGATGCGTCTATTGACAAATCCAGTTTTTCTAGTGTTTTGAATCATATCTCTTTTGTTTCTTGTTCTGATATTGTCATATTTTAGTTTTGGGATTCGGACATTGTAATTGGTTGTTGGATGTTCTAACATCGGAAAACGGCTCGAGAAACAGGCTTCAGAAGTTTGCGAACACGATAACTGCAAAAGGGAATCAGATGTGTGTGAATGCAAACCTCTGTTCAAACTGTTTTCCTTCCCAACGGAATTGAAAAATAGTGAAAGGCAAATGGGCAGCGATAGGCAGGATTGATCCACAGGAAGGACCAAAAAGGAAACCTTTGACTACCTAAATCATCTAGAGTTTGCACCAAACATTTTGTATGTGGAGCGCTCAACATTGGTTACGAATTTAACAAGTCAACACTAAAGCAAAAGGCACCAACTGTTCGCCAAGAAACACCTTCCACTGCAAAGAGACCAAGACGTGATGTTGCTGTAAAGCCAAACAATAAAATACTTTTAATTACATTTCCAACTTCTCCGTTCCTTTACTTTTCACATTGTTGTTATTTTCACAGAGAAGTTGGAAATGTAAGTAAAAGTAATGTATTGTTTTATCATTATTCGTTTCACATTGTAGTTCTTCTTCTTCTTCACTTGCCGCTTGATCGGTCTATCAGAAAACAGAGTCCCGCGGTCACTTCCGTTGTGACTTTTTGATGTGTGTGGCTTTTTAATGTGTTGCGGCATTTATGTTTGTGTTGTGGCGTTTGTATTTGTTGCGGCGTTTGCATTTGTTGTGACTATGGATGGGCATGATCAGTTGATGAATCGATAATTGATCATTAAGAATTTCATCGATTATGTAAATTTTAATCGACAAACTGAATGCAGGTTGCTGTGTGTAGCCTGACCAAACAGGTGTGTACATGTGTCTCTGCACTCAGAAGGAGCGAGCAAACACAAACAGTCGGTCAGTCTGCAACGTAATGAAGCACAAATGTGTATTTAACGATGATTTGTACAAGAAATTCCACACTTTCCATGTGCAGTGTATAAAGCAGCACATATGTTTCAGTGTCCAGTGGGAAAAAGCTTTGCCAGGTGAGAGTCGCGCAATGTCGATGACGAGTCCCCACCTCCCTCCCCCCGTACGGTGTCCTGGTTTTGACAAACGCAAATATGGTCACACTAACCTGTATTCCACTGAGTCATGTCTTTTAATCCAACAGAAATGGAACCACATCAGTGACACAAGAACTGTATTTTTTTATCTTCGCTTAGTTTATGTAAATTAGCGATGCAGTTTTAAGTTTGTTTCTGTGAGAGTTGCGCAAAACTGAATTAAACACATTATAATAAACGGGCTGATGTGGCTCTAGAGTGATTACTGTTTATATGTCGTAAAGTTGAATTTATTTATGCAGATTAGTAGTGCAGATAGTAATAATAATGATGATCATTTTAATATAAAAACGTTAATGATTAATCGATAATCAATCGTTAATTCTCTCAACGATCGATTAAGAAAATTTCATCGAATGCCCATCCCTAGTTGTGACCCCTCTCGGCTTCCGTAGTTCGGCATTGGGGAACATTTGAAGCAGAGCAGTGACATATACATAGAAACATGACAAGTTACACAGTGCATCTTTAGAAAACAATGGACTAAACTTGAGATTTCTGAGTTGTAAACATCTGGACTACACTGAAGTAGTAAGACGTTAAACTCCTGGAGTGGGAAGGCATCCAAACTAAAAACATTTCCATAACCATTGTAAGAAGCCAAAATGACCTTTACAATCATGTTCTAAAATACATGACACAATTTTGCAGCGTTTGAGGCTCTAAATGAAATGTCACGTTTTCTATGGACAATAGTGAAACTGCAATCGAGTCCTTTATATATTTTGAACATTTATATTGTGCACATAAAGACAGAAACATGGTGAGGCCTGTTTCGTTTCACTGGTCGTCAGGTCTTTTCTCATAATATTGACAGAATGATATTTTCAGATTTGGCGTTGATGTGACTGTGAGCTGTGGAGGAGTGTAATGATGGAGAGAAAGAAGGAGAGAGAGAGAGCGAGTGTGGAGGACACGAGAGAGAAAGGAAAGGAGAGAGGAGGGTAGAGAGAGAGAAAAAGGAGAGAAAGAGAAGAGAGAGATGCACAGAGACATAGCGAGGAAGTGAAGGAGTGAGGGAGGGAGGAGGAGAGAAGGAGGGTGAGAGAGAGAAAGAAACTGTGTGTGTGTGAGAGAGAGGGAGGGAACGGAGAGAAGAAGAGAAACAGAGAAAGGAGGAGGAAATAAGGAGGAAAAGAAAGACAGAGTGTGTGGGTGTAGAGATATAGGGAGAGAGGGAGGGAGAGAGAAAGAAAGAGGGAGAGAAAATAAGAGAGAAAGGAAAGGAAAGAGGAGGGCAGAGAGAGAGAAAAGAGGAGAAGAGAGAGACACACAGGGAGAGAGCGAGTTAGTGAGGGAGTGAGTGTGGGAGGAGAGAAGGGGGGTAAGAGAGAGAGAGGAGAAGAGAGAAACAGAAAGACAGGAGGAGGAAAGAAAGACATAAAGACATAGAGTGTGTGTTGGGGGGGAGTAGAGTGAGGGAGAGAGAAAGAAAGAAAGAGGAAAAGATGAGGGGGAGAGAGAAAAAAAGGAGAAGAGAGAGACACACAGGGAGATAGAGAGTAAGTAAGGGAAGAGAAGGGGGTGAGGAGGAGAGAGCGAAAGAGAAAGAGCGGGTGAGAGAAAGAGAGAAACTGTGTGTGAGAGAGAGAGAGAAAGAGAGGAAGCGAGGAGAAGAGAGAAATAGAGAGAAAGGAGGAGGAAAGAAAGACGGAGACACAAAGAGTGAAGGGGGAGAGAGAAAGACAGACAGAGAGATGAGGAGGAGAGAATGAGACAGAAACACAAGACAGGGATGGAGAGAGAGAGAGAGAAAGGAGGAGGAAGAGAGAGCTAGAGAGTGAGAGATGGAGGGAGAGAAAGAGAAAGAGAGGTGGAGAGAGGGAGGAGAGACAGAGTGGGCGGCGTGTCTCTGCACCTGTTCACAAACTGAGATATTTTTATTTCGGACTGAAGAAATCTGCAGGAATCCTCAAACTGTTGTTTTTGAGGAGGAAATGAAACATCCCTCCATTTTGTTCCCACACGGGTCATGGGGAGGACAGTCTGAAGAGGGATGCCTAGACTTCCCTCGCCCCAGACACTTCCTCCATCTCCTCTCAGTGTGGACGAGCAGCGGCTGTACCGCTTAGTTTATCTTGGTTTTTGTCC